ATACCCTCTGCAACCATCTGGAGAGCGGCGCTCATATCTTTTTCAGTAAAAGAAGGCATTCTGAATTGATTGGCGTTAGTTTGAAATTAATTGGAATTAAATTGGTAGAGTTGTGACTGTTTAAAGTATATATAAATTGGGTGGCTGGGTTAAAAGTGAGGTGGCCGGTCTGTGGGGGTGGCCAGTCTTTGGGTGACGGACGTTAAAGAATAAATAGCTCGCTTAGAGATAAGTGTTATCGCTTGTAAATTAGCCCCGCAATCTCGACTTCTTTTCTAAGCCTATTAAATATGCACATGGTTATCGTCCAAGATCTGATCTGGGACTTGCAAGATCTCATTACACACACATGGGGCTTGTAACAGGGAATAAATTAGTCTGACGGTATCATGAAACTTTGCACCTCGTTACGAGCATTGCAGAGAAAGCTCGGCACATAGCCGACATTGAGGTGTTGGGCCTTGCGATGAATTGGATGTACAAAGTACCAATCAGGTGGACAATATGCGAGTTACCATATTTGTAAACAAGCAAAGAGTCCAATAGTTCATTTTGAGTTTTGATTATTTTCTCAGTGTGATGGTCACATAGATAAGTCCGCTGATGGCTTGATCTTTGAACTAGTCCAAAACCAAAGTCCTGCCAGGTTGATATCCAAGTCACTGCTCAAGCTAAGTAGCTATTAATAGAAACAATTATCACCCTTAATCAGCACAAAAGAGTCTCTGCCTTTCCAGTTATGTTATACCAGGTGTATTGGGTTCTGTTTTCTGGATTCCAAAGTGTTATAGGTATACGGAAGAAGAATTATAGCACTCCCTTAGAGAATTGTAAGTACGGGCCCTACGTTTCATAGTTTGGATCATGTTCGATGCGTCCATATAGATTGCGCACATGATGGCGGGCAGCCAGTCTAATGGTGATTGCTTTTCTGGCCACCAGGATCGCACTGCTAAGAATGGGGGAGAAGCATGACTGCTACAAGATACGCGTGACCAACCTCAGAGCAAGATTTGGTGCGAGGAGGAACATATTAGTGAGCTTTCAAGAATCCGATGAGCCACCCTCGGCCCTGTAAACCGATTCAACGTGTCGACGACATACAATCAAGCACATGACGTATCGCTAGTAGGCTACTGCATGGTTTCGTGGTAACCTGTCGGGGAAAGAGTACAGTTTACGCTTGACTCTACTAATCCACCTGATGATTCTTCTAATAGTAAATGTATCTATGGGACGGACCATGGGCCAGTAAATGAATATAAAGAAAATCGGCCGAATCTGAACTTGATGTATGAAAGCGATATGAGAGCGTGAGATATGTCAGATACCAATATTCATAACAATTGAGTGTTGGAACTGGGGGTAGACACGACATCTACCGGCATCGAGCGTAATTAGTCCTTTTTCACACCTAGCTTCCCAACGCGTCTCAGACCCCAAAGCGTTACGAGGACTGAGGCAAATCCTAACGCAGAATTGTACCACCAGCCAGCTGCGTATCCTCGAAGGAGAGATGTGCCTGTGTCAACACCATCAGTTTGGTCTGTTATCCGCTTCGCAATAAGAGCAGTTGTAGATATTCCTACACTCTTTCCAATCTGAGCAAGCATGTTAAAAACACCACCAGATAGCGCCTGCATCTCGACAGGGAAAGCGTCCGTCACAACGAGCATTGCAATTGTATACATGAGATCCGCACCTAATGGGTTAATGGCGATGGCTTGGAATATGCCGTGCCAATATCCAGGGCCATCGACACGACACAAGACCGCCAACAATAGCGGCGCAAGCCCACTTACGAAGCAAGCTGCTGGCACCGCAATAGATGGCCTTAGCTTTGGAAGAATAAGGGCAACGACGATGTTCATGATAAGACCACAAAGAGGAGCCGGAAGAAAATATAATGATGCCGTCAGGGTCGAGAAACCACGAATCTCCTGTAGATACAGAGCTGCTAGTTGCTCACTGGCATTGAGAGCGCCCCAGATAAGGAATACTGCAGCACAGACAGAGGAAAAGGGCACGTTGGTCCATAGGCTGTTGGGAATCAAAGCAGGTTTCTGACGGCTTGTTTGGAAATGAACCCATACTATAAAGGTTGGTAATAGAACGAGCCCGACACAGAGTAGAGACAGGTTCAATGGTCCACGCAATCGGCCCGATGCACCAGGTCCCGACACGACCGCTAGAACATAAGAGAGACAGGCCAAGCTTGTGCTAATGATCATCACCCCAATCCAGTCGAGGCGTTGACGCAAGTGCGCAAGAATGGCCCGGTCAAGTGGTCCGTCAAGATGAACTGGCAGCGACCATGTTGCCAATGCCAGAACAAGAAGATTGAGGACGGCCGTCGTATGGAACCCCCACCTCCAACCGACCGTATCGCTGAAAACGCCGCCTAAAGCGAGGCCGAGCCCAAAGCCAACGGCCTGGCCACCTCCCATGGCAGAGAACGCGACAGCACGGCTCCGTGGCATCGTAGCACTGGGAAACGCATTCGAGGCAACACCAACCGCACTGGGCAGACACAGCGACGCAGCAATACCGGCAAGGGTCCGCAATGCTATCAACTGCGTGGACGTGTTGGTCAGTCCGGCACCAACTGCGCTGCACGCCTGGAGCAATGCGCCAACAAGGCATACCCGCCTGCAGCCTGCCAGGTCGGCGACGGTGGCGCAAAAGAGGAGTGAGCAGCCGCAAGATAAAGCGAAGGCAGACGCTGGCCACAGCTCAAGGCCGGGCGGGATGGCAAGATCCTGTGCAATAACGGGTATGCAGACCGTGAGAAGGCCGGCAAGAAGATTGCTTATACCGGTAATACATGTTATACAGGCGATGATGGCTGCACTCCGGCGTTTAGATGGAGCCTGCGTTGATGCTGGTGTTGGAACGGTTGCTGTAGCTGAGTGTTCCGTGGTGGGGGTCAATTCCAGGGAAGAGGCACGTAAACCTTCCATAGCGAGCAATGCTATTGGTGGTGCTGGATGCATCCACGTTTTGGCGAAAGTTATAAAGTAAAACCACACAGGCAGTTTTAATAGAGGTAATAGAATCTACTAGATAATGGGATACTTAACTGGATTAATGAACCATTTATAGCAGCCTCGTATAATCTGGACACGCTGTTCCCTCTAGACCCACTACTTACGCCTTCCCCCCGAGGCTGGGAAGCCAGAATTACCTAATTAGGACTTTTCGTCCCATAGCCCTGCTGTCTTCCATAAGTTCACGTAGTCTTTCTCTATTTCCAGTTAGTCTCTTTAAGCTTTTCACTATTTCCCTTTTCCAAATCCATAGCTATTCTATCATAATTGCAGCTAGAACAGAGCAATTAGACCGTAGTAAATTACGTCATCAAACACGTGCGCTAAGAGTGCGGCTGTAGGAAGAGGGCGCACTAAAATCTCGATTTGCAATGCTTACGCGCCTTGGTCATCGACGAAACGACAACCATGCAGAAAGGCTACCGAGGTCGGGTCCGGAGTGGCTGCCTGACTTGCCGGGCTCGGAAAGTCAAATGCGACGAGGCCAAACCCGTCTGTAATAATTGTACGAGATTACAACGTCAGTGCACATACAAGCCCCGGAGAGTCTTTCGGCAGACTGCCAGCGCCGATAACTCGCCACCCGGCCAGCCATCATCAGTCCACTTTGAAGGAGTAACTCAAGCACCTGAGGCACATGACACTACCCAGTTCCACTCAAGTCCGTCGCTCACCGACGACTATGAGATACAAGGGTCATCAAAAGTGTTGTCAACTGAGAGGGTGAACCAAACCCCCTTCTTGTACGAAGGCAGGACAAATGTAGATGTCACAGCCTGTTTGCAAAAGGCTCTCCAATACCGAAGTACAGTTCCTATCGTGGATGACAACTCCTACGAACGCCATGACTCGCCATTGAACTTGATATCACGGGATATTGAATTGACCACTACGCTCGATATCCTCACTCTGCGTACCCAGTCCCCCTACATGACAGAACTCTTCCTTGATACAGTGGAATGCCCTGGTATTACCCCGTTCGATCCTCTTAACTGGAAACTGGCAAAACAACATGTCGTGCATCTGGGAAAGTCATGTCTGGCTATTTCTTCCGGTATCGCAGCTGTCGCAACTCTATGCAGTGGGCAGGTCTTCTCCCTCTCTACGTCTGAATCACTATCTCACTATCATTCCGCGAGGAAGAATGTCGAAGAGCTCTTGGAAGATGACGATAAAGACTTTGATATTGTTTTAGTGGCTGTCTTCCTCTTGTGTATGTTTGAGTTGATTCACTCTGGAAATATCACACCCTCCCTGAGAGAACCGGGCTCGACTTTCACGCAGAGGTTACAAGCTTGGGGAAAGAATCAGTATTTACACTCGGAGCTTTCCACCCGGATAGTTACCTGGTTGAAGATTCTCTACTCAGCATCTTTTCGAGGTGGAGCAATGGGCCTGCTATCTGAAAGGGTAGTCAGTCTTCTCCCCAATTTCACTGGCCCATTACCAAACCTCCGACCTCCCGTCGACCAAGAGACAGAGATATCCAACCATTTGTACGAGGTCTTGAGCAGTCCGATCTTCGACTTTTACTGTCAACTTCAAACCCTATCCGGAGAGATTGCCAAACTGTCACTTTACCATCGATCACGTACGAAACGCAAAGACCAGCAGGAGGTAGTCGAGCGTATGGCGAGTCTAAAGACCCGACTACGAGCATTGTGGGAAACTCGTTGCGCTACGCAGCGACAGTCTCCAGAGCATTTGCGCTCCCAAATGGTTCCCCGGATCGCAAACATGATTTCAAGCCTCATAAGTATTTGTGAGGCCGCATATCATGCTGAGTTTATTGATATAGGCAGACAACTCGGTGATCCTGTGTCTCAGACGCCAGATTCGAGGGATGCTTTACACAGGATCAAGGAGATTCTGGACGATTGCCAGGGTGACTCAGGGGGGATTAATCCTGGCTATCTGAGACCATTATTCCTTTGTGCTATAGAAAGTACAGTCAAGGAACAGACCAATTGGGCCGTGGAGAAGCTTGCTAAAATCCAGAATCGTGTCTATCGGGGAGTGTTTTTCTCGGCGTTTGCAAAGGCACTTTCGGAGGCACAAACGCGTAATGACAGAAGGGTTACCTCGAGGTATTTCTGTATCTGGTATTTCGGGATCACACCACCATTCCAGTAGGATTGTAGGTAAAGCCCGGGCTGAGAAAGATTCCATAATTGCAGGGGGCATTTAGCCAACCGTACTGTCGAGATAGCTGCCGCAGATAGCACAGCAAAGGCAGTAGATAATGTAATAAATGTAACTAGTCCAGCTGGCAAGAGGCGCGCAAATTGAATGCAGTTAGATTTGAAACAGCGTATATTCTTCTTCTAAATCAAGCCTATGCCCCCAAATAAACAACCCTTGCTCTAGCTACGAAACTGCGAGTAAAGCCTGGTGCTTCTCTTTTTCCAAACTTCCATCCTCGACTAACAGCTCCTCACCTTCCAGCATGGACTTTGGTCGTTTGGGAGCCTTGGCCTTATCTAGATTTGCTGCAAACTGCGACTCCAACGCCCCGGCATTTTGAAGAAGCACCTTGCAATTAGCACAAGGAGCCATCAGGTTCTTCCAAACATCACTGGTAGAGTATTCTTCATAGTCGGGATACTCCGCCTTTTCCATGAATTTGCTTTTGAGAGCGAGGCCGGTCATTGAAGTTTGGTTTTGCTTTTTATCTCTAGGACCCGATTAGCAATAGAAAAATAATCTCGATGCGAGCATACATACGCCAAGAATCTGATAGCGAATGGGTACGTTTCGGCGCAGTTTCCGTACGGTACCATGTTGCGATCGGCCTTCTTCTCCATGTTGGGAGCTGTCTTGTTTTTGAAGTCGTTTACTTGAACCATGGGCACTTTCTGACATCTGAATAACATATCAAAACGGGCCTCTTGTGCACGCTCCCTCCAGGCTCCCGTATATGTGTCAAGCTTCACATCTGTTTCGAACTTGTCCCCGGCATTGGATGCTCCCAGAAAGTATTGCCCCCAATGCTGCCTGGTGCTCTTGTCGACCTGGAGGTACCATGTACATTGGAAAACAAACGGCAGCTCACCCTCGCCTTCAATACTTGGCTTCCACTTCCACTTCTCATCTGCTGCACCCGCGATACGTGAGCACCAACGGCCGTAGACTGCTGTGAGGGGTAGATAGAAGTTGTTTTTGTCAGCAGAGGCCGGCGCTGGCCCCAGGAGGCTAAGAAAAAGACCAAGTAGATCGAAAGGACACCACCATTGTGGTACTGGACCTAATACAGCCCGTGGAGTATGCCTGTAGTACCAACCACTGACAATGAATTTGGATGATGTTTCATCTTCTTTTTTCCAATCACGGTTCATTAGTCGCGCAATATGCGACGATGGTTGCTTGGTAATGTCCTTGTACAGACTCCCCTTCTCGAGTCTGTTGCCTTAGTTAGTCACCGGGGGCTGGGCTCAATAAATGTAGGTAAACGCATGCAATACTTACGAAAGTCTGATCAAGCGATTGTAGATTTCCGTAAGGAGAGTACGTAAGTCTTGATCTCCGGGTTGAACCCCACCCGCGTCAGCGGTCTTCTTCATCCAGTCATAGATCTAGTACTGCATTAGCCTCCAGGTCATCCTAGAACTATTAAGGCATGCCGAAGGGATGGATCATAGTCCGAATATTCTGCTTGCACTCACGCCACATACCTGGTCCCTGTTCCATTTGTACGCTTTACGAAACCAACCTTCCCCTGGATTTGCCCAAAAAGGTTCCAGAAGGGCAAATGGTTGGCTTGCCATGCTAGGTAGTCTTGGTAGAGGCCTGAATGAAAGTGAGACGAGGCCTAATGTTTAGGACGTATACAGTTGTTGGTGGATAAAAAGAGCTAAACAGAGAATGGTTTCGTTTTAAAACTGTTCCGTACCATTTCGCCCCTCTTCCTGATAAATGCACGTGATAAAGATTTGCGCATAAATTCAGGCTACTGTCCATCGTCTTTCCAATCTAACTCTTCTCTTGCAAGTACCTTAACCCACCTCACCCCCCTCATTCACTCCGAGCTGCAACGAGAAGTACGAAAACACTGAACAGTTCCAGCTGTCAACACACAGAAACATAATGGTACGTACAGATCAACCCCCCCTTACCTTTCTTGAGTCTCTGTATCACCTTCTGCACAATGTGAGTTTTATCTAATCAGCTCACCAGTCTATCCCCGCAAATCTTGTCCCCGATGACTGGACCACTGACCCGGAGGAGATGGAAAAGGACTTCTATTGGGGAGACAAGGGGCGGGGTCGGTTGGCTGCAGCAGCTGTCGGTATCACCAACCCGGAAGGCCTCATGATCAAGGACAGGGAAGAAGGAGGAGATGCCTACCTGTTCCAGGACGCAAATGGGATCTACATGTGGAGTATGCCTACGAATGAGGTGTACAAGTACACCAAGCCTACCAGTCGCGATGACATTCTAGCCGAGATGCGTAAGCCCGCGGGTCGCGGAAAGGTGGAAATGACGTTGATGCCTCGACGTTCTTAGATTGGTGCATGAGCAGGGTGCTTACTGTATGGAGCTTGATCAAGATAGCAATGGTAAGACACAGTAAACTGGTCTCCTTGTATTCCGTAACATTTGTTACTGTACATTCACCGGTCTTGTATCGTGTATCACAAATGGAATGTCTGCATACAAAAAGTTCCATACATCGATCTTGGCATGCTCGCAGCTCAACTCATTGATTTATGGCAACCGCTCATTGCCGTCGTACCCCAAGGTCGGTGCGGTTGTAATTGGCGTAGAGAATTGAGCTAGCTGTTGTGTTACGAAGTAATAGCAGAGACTGCCGATCAATGGTTGAGACATGCAAGAAAAGAACCTGCCATGTTTCACTCGAGTGACTCGAGCATCTGCATAGTCACCAACGGACCGCATATGCATCGTCGACAATTTCCAGATAAGGAATGCCGAGAACTGGAATGCACTGGAAAGAAATGCAACACATCATCGTTGCGGCTGAGCTAGGATACTTGCACATATTCGGACCGTGGGGGATCTGCAACTCACCACAACATCATCAATGTGAACAGATTGATATGACATGTGACACATGCAGGTCTATGGATGAGGAAGTGTTATGCAGCAGATCAAAAATGGCCAACATCGCCTGCAGGCGTGAGACAAAGCGCCCATATCACGATATCCTTATAGGCAAATGGCTCCTGATCCTTTAAACGGGGTTCAACAGTTCTTGGCGCCAACGGAATGCAGACGACCTGAAGCAGGAATGAAGCAGAGAGAAGAGACAATCTTCAACTATGATGCCACTGGTCTGGTCGAGTTTAATCTCGTGTCTCTCGACATGTCCAACAGAGATAGGCAGTTAGTTGTAAGTGCAGTTCATGTCTCAAGACTATGCTTTTCAGGAGTTACATTCTGTTATGTGAAGAAGGAATAGAACTTCAGGAGAGACCCGTAGCTTGATTACATAGTGAAAACTTGGCAATTAAAACGTTCTACCCAATGGAAATTACGTCTTCCTAGCCACCGAACCCTAATGCATAACTACTTCTACAGACAGAGGAGGATTATCCACTATCATCACATTGGGCTCCACCAGAGGAAGAGCGGGGTTTCTGCAATATCTTGCTCGAGACTGGACCATTGCAGTTGCAGTTCCAAGCCCTGGAGCATTGATACTCGCCAACCCGAGCAGAAAGCTCAACTCAGGCACAGCCGGCGCCATGACCCATCCCTTCTCAGCCCTAGGAAGTAGACGAATGCGCAAGTAATACTTATCCTGATTCTGGTCATGAAACGTCGTTGGAATCACGTTAAAGCGCAGGTTCGTCAACATGTGTGCGCCAGGACCAGTGTAATTTGACATCAAAGCGTATGTGGCATCGCTGGATGAACCCAGTGCGATGTCGATGGTGACCTCCATGAGGAGGTACTGGTTGATCTCGCTTTGTTTCAGGATGATGGAGAAGATGAGATCTTGGGGTAGGTTGAACCTGTCTAGCACGACTTGGCTGTGATTGTCGGCCAGGTTGCTGCTGACGCGTATGAGGAAGCGAGGTGCTGATGCGGGCTCAGATTCAGGTGGTTTGACTTTATAGGGAACGGCTCCATCTGTGCCTTGCTGGGAGTTGGTGGGAAATTTATCTGAGTCGCTGACACTTGGGCCTTGATGGAGTGGCATCGCTCGGACATGAGGTGAGAGGTAGTTTGAAACCACATCCAGTGGAGAAACGTAGTCCGCAGCCCTCATGAAGGTATCTTCGCGGTTTGCATCATTGTGCTCATCCTCATCGTGTGGATCGTTCTCAGCTGGTGCGGGAGATACTTCTGCACCAGGGGCAGACAGCTTCTTGACCCGCACGGCTTCCATCATGTTGATAGTCCTCAGCTCCGGGTTTCCGTCCCCAATGTCAGGAGGAGCCAAGCCAGCTATAGCTTGTGCAGCCTTGGATGCATCAGCCATATTGATGGTTAAGTTATAAATGGGATCGTTGAGTTGCATAGCAAATAGTGCAGAAGTTGAAGCATTATCCTCAAAGTAAGATGTATCAGTTCCTTCTTGCTTTCCCATCATGTCTTGTAGGACTTTGAGCTGCACATCTGCAAAAGCGGGAAGGCGTAAGATACGCAAGTCATTGAGACTCTGGTTGGGTACAGAGTTCCATATGAAGATGTTTTTCTCCCCAGTTGGAGTGTATCTGATCTCTTTGAGTGCCTTGTGTCTGTCCTTATCTGTTTCCCTGGTGCTCTGGTCAACAGTATACTGCCGTCTAATATTGACTTTAACCTCAGTCGTGTCTAGACCACGAGCAACAGCAAAACGCTGCTGGTGGGCTGGCTGCGTAAACACAAGAGACGAAAACTGTGCAGAGCCGGGAACACGGTCCATGAACGCCATCATGACCCCGTCCGCTACAATCTCATGCCGCAAAAGAGGTGCTCCCGCAGGAGGATCCTGACCAGCGGATTTGAGGGCGCTATCGTTGGAAAGGACCTCAACGCGAAGATCTGGAAACATAGTCACCAAGTCTGAGCGGAGGTAGAAGCCGTAAGCAGGTATTTGGACACGATGGGCCATTCCATCAGGTGTACGACCGATGTAGTCATTGAGTGCTTTCTTGATAGCGACGCGGTCCTCGTCAGTACCGAAATGGTTACCGAGGGATAGAGCGCCGTCGATGAGGGCGTCGACCCAGTTCCTGTCGATGTGGAAGAAGCGTAAGTTCTCGGGCTGGAGGTAACTCGGATCAGGTATGAGATAGTGCGCTGGTACACCGGCGAGGAACATCCGGTCGATCAACCATGAGAGTACCGTCATCCAGTCTGAGGATTGCGGATCATTTGTCTCATCATACGGGTCGCCCGATCGACTTGAAGCCAGTTTGCGAACAGAATCCAGCGCAGCAGCTGGGTACTTGTCCTCAAAGAGAGGCGAAGCGAAGGAGAGCGTCGGTCGATCGCGACGCTGGAGCTTCTTGTGGTGCCATCGCCGCTTGGCCCCTCCATGCCTGAACTCGGGTCTGCCAGGCTTTCTCTGATCAGGAGCTTCCCCAGGGTCTTGAGGCTCAGAACCGCGCTTTTGAAGATGGATATCTGCAAGTCCCTTGACCATGGAGGAAAGATCCTTGAGAAGGTCATCGTGAGTGCGAAATGCAGTATCCTTAACCTCCTTGACGGCATTGATCTTGACTTGCTTCGCTGCGGCGGCGTGCACGGCTGTTCTGACACGTCCCAGCGCAGCAACAAAAGCTTGATCACCGAGGGCCATAGTACGGCCAACCTGCCAGGCCACAGAGTATGTCACATCCATGATGCCCAAATTCTTGTCAAGAATTTGCAAGTCCACGCCCGAGGTTGAGCACTTGGTCAGATGCTCCAAGGTAGGCACGTAAGTGGGAGTGAAAGGACCTCGATACAGCGCTACAGTTGCCTCGCCTGTTTGAACGCGGTATTTGACCAAGGTATAACCATCGCTCAGACGGCGACCAACAAGCTGCTGGGCTTTGTCTGCAGACGCTTTCAGAGGCGCTATGACTTCATCCGGGGCTCGCAACACATCGAGAGTGCGACCCAGATTCTCAAAAGCATCTGGTACGTTGAGTGTATTTGGCGGGAGGACTGTATAGTTCCAGCTATAAAGGGAGCAGAGGGCAACATAGCGGTGGTTCTGGCCCGGATAGCTCATGGCCTCCACGCCTTCGATGGATACTAGATGTGCGCACATGGTGGTTGGAATGACGTTGTCAAGCGGTCCCGATCTGTTGCCGACGACGATGCTAAAGACAGCTGTGTCCTCAACACCAGCGAGAGCCATTCCAGAGCCGTTGATCTTGCGCACGTGGGAAAGGTATTTGTACTGTGATGTATCCGGCCCACTGCCCTTGACTCGATTACCCTTATCGTCAAATGTCGAGAAGAGACTGGTGAACAGCCCTGGCTGTACGAAGATGAAGTCCCCACGGCTATCTTTCATAGAAGGTGGTCCGAGTCTGTCAGTGATTGGTGTTGTCACATCAGACTTTAGCTTCCACAAGTCATCGATGCTCATGTTGACTGTCATTGTAGATGACTGCTTGACGGGCTTGAGAACGCCATCGCTAGTACCGCTGAAGATACTGCCTGCACCCTCTAGATCCTCCGGGGGCAGTCGAAGCTCGTCTTGGGAAAATGCAAGCACGACAAGCCATGGTACACGGTTGCGCGGTATGCTGCTTGCCTTATCCGCGCCCAAGGCTACTCTCTTCATCTGCGCCTTGAGATCCATGTTGGTCCCGCCCTTTGGACTTCCCAACCTCTCCCACGGGAGGTGCGGATCTGTCAAGACGACATGCGGCAGGATTCTATGATCATCGCTGTAGCCTGCTGGAGGATACGTAGAGTGGACGCTTCCATCCGGCAGGGAGAACTGCGGTGCATCAACGTAGAAAGGCTGCTCTGCCTCCAAGTTGAGTTGTTCGCCGTTTGCTTGGATGGTTTGCTTTACTGAGATGATGTGTTTGGGGCCCGCTTCGATGCCTGGGGCCCAGAATGAATTCAGCTTTTGTTCGCCTGGGGGCAATGGCTCAATCTCATCCTCGACGACCTTGCCGTCTGCGAGGACGGCCACAGACTGGAAAGCGTTGAGACGGGCGTCAGCGCGATTGGCGGCGACAACGCGGCGAGAGTGCCGTATTGTTAGATGGCGAGGAGAGTCTATGCGTGTACTCTTGCCTCCTGGATAGATGCCCATGGTGTCTTGCTTTTGCTCAGTTGTGTGGGTTTGCCTATGGTGGACGTGTCCAGGAGGTTTCTTAGCTGGGACTTGGGGAGAAACTCTAGAGAGGCAGTATAATTGCCATGAAAGTGGGCGATGTAAAACGGCCAATATTTGCTGCCCGCTCTTGGTCAGAAAAAACCTTCTGTGCGCGACGCTGCTTCACCTATTGTGGCAACGGTGGATTCATCCACGATTAACAACTGACCCGTTTCAAGCATTATCTGCATAGTCTAAATCTCATTAACGGGGCGTAGGTGTCGGGAGGCATTGCAGAACTGCCGCGTCTTCAGCGTACAGCAAATGGAGGCCTGATGCATATTTTTACAAGCTGTGCGATTGTAATTTATCATGCTAGTGGGGTGTCTGTATTGCCCAAATCTATATGAGCAGCATAAACGTATCGGATGAAAGCCCCAGAGACATTTCATGCATAGCAGCATCAATGTTCCGACCTGCAGATGCGGCCCGGGCGGGGTAAAGTGACAACGAGATCGAAATATGTAACCTGTTCCTAATCGAGCAAGGACTATCGTAAACATGATCTGATCTGATATGCAGGAGATGAAAAAGGGACTTGTCAAGTGAAACATGCGCGAAACATACGTAATCATTCGTTCGGCCCGACGGCGCCGCTGTGGATTAGCACAGATCGTTTCTCTGCCGTTTGTTTCACATGCCGTGTCTCACTTACTGTACCCATTCTACATCCCAGACTATATGCTTTGATGCCAATGGCCTTATCGGTTATACAGAAGCGGGGTAAAGCCTACCGAGAAGCAAAGGTTGTTCAGCTCATGCAGTGTGCGTATCTCGACTTGGTGAGGTTACGAATGATGCATGCTGCGAGTAAAGCCAAGATAGTGACGAAATAATGAACGGCATTGAGGAAAGAGGGAAGAAGAACGGGGTTCTTGGACTGCCCACCCAAAGTTACAGGAGACTTCATGAGTTCTCCTTGAACGATAAGCCTCTCACCCTAAACTGCCACGAAACCAAGTAAATTATGGCTCCCATCACTGCAGTAATCGACAAGACCACCGCCGGCGATAGCGTCATTAAACTCTTCTACTCCACAGGAGAAGCCCAGCTCGGTCTTGCGTTATGGTCAGGCACAAAAGATGCAGATCCTGAGAACCCCATTCAGGCGCCTCAGGAAGTTGGAAATGACCAGTACATCCTCAATCCATCTCAGATGGCAAGCGTCAATTCCCAAGGCGTAGAAAGGGTCTTCGCTCTTACAACAGACAACCCATTCAAAGTTACCCCAAATGATTCGTACAGTCTATCAGAGATTTCCGAGTCAAACCAGAAGGAACTGCAGAGTGTGTCCATTGGCAACACTACGCTGGCTGCCTGTGGGGATGGTGACAATGCTTGGGTCTACTATAGCAGGTGAGTGAGGCACCGATATGGACTGGAAAGAAGTCGATTGCAAGACAGCTAACAACCTTCAACAGGAACATGGGTAACGGCAGAACCCTTGTAGAATTGGACCTCCAGACTTCACGGAGCACTGACCTCACATGGACCCATGATCTCTGGATCAACTCTTTCGCCGCTGCTTGGTACGATGACACAACTGGGAAACGCTGCGTAATTTACGAGGGAAGTAACCTTGTAGATTATGTCGTCGACAGCGGCTCACGCAAGTATCTCGCTCCCATCTTCCGAAGACTTCTGCTAATTGCCTCAAAGCCGGCACTGCAATATCCTCAACTGGAGACATGCAGCGCAACACTCCAGTAGCCGTCGCATTTGACAATGGCAAAGTCTTTCTTTACTACTGTGGCAGAGGCGCCGCCGGTGGTATTCGGCGCACCATCAGGACTGATAATACTTGGGGTACCTCTACACTGATTGATAGTCGCACCATTTCTCAGGATAGCCAGCTCACTGTGGTGAGGGCCAATGGCATTAATCATTTGTTCTTTGTGGCGAGGGATCAGAATGAGGAGGAGGATGATTACTTTGTGCATTACCCGGATGAGATCAATTAGTTTACATAGCTGGCAATCAAAACTAAGCGAGCAGTTGGACCGTCTTGTGAGTGTGACAAACAGCATCAAATACATAAGGAATATGCACAGATATAAGATACAACGATGACAACCATATGTTATGAAGCTGTTTGTGGCCCTTGTCATCTTTACTGCAATTGAAAGAAACATATTCCATATTGATCTTGACTTGCTGGACTAGAGTAAATACAAAATGACCATTCATGCATTCTGAGGATTACTCGGAGCCACGATCGGGTTTCTTAACTGCAAGAACCCCTCAACCGCAGCATACGGTCCATCCTGGAACGCAGGTTTAATCAGATCACCCTTCTTCTCAATACAAAACGCATTATAAACAGCCTGTGGATCCTCATCTCCCCCTTCCGCGACCTGGTCCTCAGCATACGGCTGAAACCAACTCCAGTCTCCTCCACCAAGAGAAGGCAGCAGTAAGTTACGCTTTGGGATATCCCGAGCGTTCTTACTGGTCAGCTTCTCTGTTTCAAGATACCCAGGGACATCGTTGACGGGCATGGTCAACGGCCCTGCGTGGAAGAAGGCTGTCATGGTGTCCATGGCCTTTTGCCACGTCCACGGTGGTAGGAGCAGCTCTGCTGCTGGTAGGAAGGATGAGTACGCGTGTACGGGTGTGAAGGGATCTAGGATAGCGCCGAAGATTGACATCTGGGCGTTGCGTTGGTTCTCATAAGCTTGAGGCTCAATGGCGGGTGAAGAATCGGAGAATGGGGGCTGCCAGAAGGGACTGAAGATTGGATACTGGTCGGTATCAAGACGAATCAATGGATCCGTAGAGTTGCCATCTGGAGTGAAGAAGGTCTTGATCTGATCATAGTTCAATTCATCAGACCCAGGATCCGTTGTGTCAAAGTAACCGACAAGTCCATCGTAACCTGCTTCTTCATTTCCGAGCCGTAGCTGAAGCTCATAGTATGGGGTCTTGTCATTAGCATCCGACGGCTTCAGGAGTGTGCGCTCAGGATCAACCACCTTGACCTGAGTACTTTGGATATCAAGAGGCGGTCCGCTCAGCTCAACAGACCAGCCCGTATTGACGAGGGCAAGTGGCTTCCCTACGATGGAGTTGAGGAACTGCGCGTAGGAATCAGGAGCCGGAGGGAGCTTCTGCTGCGCCGTCGTTATCATGCCCCAGAACCCGAGGAGATATTTAGGATCAGCCAACTTGGAGATGAGAATGTCAAGCTCTCGTGTATCAGGAGTGGGCTGTGCATCTGGATCAGGACTGAAGGGTAGCCACTTGGGTGACTGGAGAGTCCCCAGAGGACCGCCGACGCGAACCTCACGGTAGAATGTGCCGTCTGGGAGAAAGATCTGTATACCGTAGTCGGCATAGTTGGTGATGACCCATCCCCATATTGGTGTCTCCCATTCCGTGACAGGGCGCCATGTCGCGGCGCCTGGAGAAGCTGGGCTGCCACTTGGATCATCAGCGATACGTCTGACAAACTTGGCGTTGATGCGCGCCGGCTGATTCATCTGCGGTTGCAGCTGCAGAAACTCAGACTGCTCCGGGTTATCCTTGATCACCGTATTCGCGTACTTTTGCCCATCTAGTGTGACCTTTTGTGGCGCGTAAAAGTTGCTTATGCAGGGATAAATAGGCGGTGGCCCATCCCTTCGTGGTCGCTGATCAATGGCCATGAGGGACTGGCCAAACTTGTCGATGACGTTGAACTTGCGGAACCGGAACTGGCCGTGTGTAACAGGCTTGAAGGGACAATGCTCACTGTCGGTGAAGTTGACCAATGCCGCATACGGCGTCAACGCTGAGTTACCGTCGATAAGCTGGAGCTTATCCTGTGTCAGGCCAGCGAGTTCAAAGGTTGCTGCGGTGAGGACAGAGCTCGACTCTCCGTCGGGACCGACGACTTTGTTTTCGGGCTTAAGATGACTGCCCTCTGCTTGAGTGACGAGGCCACTCATAAAACCCGAGAGTGGTGATGAGAGATAGGACAGTTCACTGATGTTTGCAAGGAGATTGTCTCGATCCTCTTTTGGAAGATACTGGTCGAGAATACTGGGCGGCGTGTTCTGGAAAAGCTGCTTGATCTTGGCACCCAATGCAAAGCTGGGCTGAGGCAGAATCAAGACCCGACCAGACAAGACGCGAATATCCTGCTTTTTGTCGCCCTGCCATCTAGACAGAGCATCCCACAGCGGCGGAGGTGTCTCGCTATCAGACGGAACAGTAATTCCATATCTGACCAGCTTGTTCTCCGAGTGGCGGGCGGTGTGCTCATCTAGGCTCCAGAACTCAAATGGGATATGGGTGTATTCCACCTCCCACTCGGCGTAGAGAGGGAACCATGGTTGTCTATCGCCCCACTGGTCACGCCAGCGCTCGTCGGTAGTCAATTGGTCGTGGAATTGAGGATAGAATTTGCCTTGGCCTGGCGCACCTGAGTCATTGCCTCCAGGACGGAGAGCGTGAAACTCGGTGATGAGTGCTTTGGCAGCTGCCGTCAAGACAGTGGGTAATTTGTTCTCGGCCAGACTTGAGATAGTGTTAAGGTTGCTGGGTAGATCTTGATCGCTTGTAATGGTCTGATATGGGGCCCGAATAGCGAGACTATCGAGATAATCAAGCGCCCAACCAGATGGGATACCGCCGATGAGAACGGTGGGATCATTTCCACCGTAGAAGACAGGCTCACTTGTCGACTCCACCGTGGCCAAGAGGCTGTTTCCTAACAGAGTGGCGACCTTTGATTCAAGCTGTCCGATGCGGGTTTGGAGTCCATTAATACGGCTCGAGATCCTGCCAGCTTCAGCCTTGAATGCTTCATTCTGATCATTGCCCTGATTATCGCTCTGGCCTAGATCGCTGGCGTATTTCCACCAGAGAGAAAACATGTCCCAGCGATACTGCAGCATCGCTCTGTTGCAAGAGTCTAGCAGGGCCTGGGTGAGGTTCAATTGATTGATACTCTGGATGGCTAGAGGGTCAGGCTCCTTGGGCTGGTTCGTGCTCTTATCATCAGCCTCGGCGAAGAAATATCGCGTGCCACCTGGAGAGCGATCGTAGGACCAGTTATAGACTGAGTCTTTGGCCTCTCTCTGACCCTCGACACCATCATCGCGCGATTGAAGGAGAGATTCAAGGGCCAGGATATCTTCCTCTAGTTTAGCGACATCCTCTGAATTCCCGCTGGCGTCGCCGCGTGCGTGACAGTACGCCAATAATGCATCCATTGGAGTGGTGCCAACTGCGACTGCAGCCTGTTTCGGATCGCGCAGACGGTCGTTGAATCCATCGGCTGGGACAGTCTTGGGTTTGTTCTCGTGATCCCAGGCCACATCGTACATGCAACCATGACAGAGGATGCGGATTTGACTTTTGAGATCCATCCATGGGTCGGGATTTGCTTCATCTGTCCCTTGAAGTGTCATGAAGAGCGACTGCAGGTTCTCTCCATGAGTAAACTCGGCACCTGCTTTCCATAGGGGATCAACGGCATCTTTCCAATGCCATCCCAGCACGTAGTAGCTGGCTTTGGCATAGTCCAGATACGACGGCTCCTCTTTATCTCCATATTCGAAGTTGTCCAAGATGCTGAAGACGTTGGCATTGTGCATCTGGAAGTCAGCAAAGAGCTGGTTTCCACTTCGCAGGAGACTGATGTCTGGAGGCTCAACAGTGGGGTTCGGATTCTCAGTCCACTCAGCCAATGGTGTCTTGCGCCCGATAAAGACCTCAGCTTGCTCATTGATGTTGACATCGGTGCCGGCGTGTCCGAGCACGAATGGCGCTACATCAGTCTGTAGATCTGCCCGGATGGGGATATCTTCCAAGGACCAGACATAATCGCTCTCAACGACCCAGGCTTCATACTCTCGGTCTTTGAAAGCATCTTTGGCACTCGATGGCTGGATGCTATCCAATTCGAGCTTTCTTATGACGATCCAGCGAGTTGGAGGCTGTAGAAAGTCTGGGGTTTGATGAGGGGAGTTGTCACTGGCCGCGGTGGTTGCAGCATCAAGTCCCCGTCGCATTCTCTCTCTCTTCTTTCTAGATTCTGGTACAGAATCGGTCGAGGAGACTCCCGATCTGTAGAATCGGGGAAGTGTCCAATGGACATAGACGCCATGACGATGGCGGAGCGGTTTTGGCTCCGGACGACCACCCAGGTCAGTCAAGCGGGAGTTGATAGAGGCTGGGGCGGTATTGTGCAGAGCGACGTGATTTTGAACATCGCTCTGGAGCAAGAAGCTATCAAGCCTCAAGAAAGTGTAGTTGGGTTGAGTGATGGGACAGATGCGCGCCGTAGTGTCTTGATCACTGCCCGTACCGCATACAGCTGGATTCAGGACGAATGCATCCAGTTGCATGGGCACCAAGGCGACTTCAAAGTCCTCAATTCCAGTATCTTGAGTCATGATGATCAATTGGCGTACGTCTTTTGTTCTCGGTACGGCAACGATTGTATCTGAACAAGGCTGAGTTCAAATCAAGTCTTCGATGGGGGAGCTATGGTGATGGTCTATTCCAACTACCGCATCCCATGATGAGACCAAGACAACGTTGAACCGGAAGCCGGCTAAAATTCCTTATCCGTCTGGTAGACGAAATTAGAAACCAGTCTCGCAAGTACTGACGGATTCACATGTCCCCTCATCATGCCTTGATTTCTCAGTCGATCTCATCTTTCCTCCCCCTCTTTTCTCTTTTCGGGCCAAGCCAACACGGCCCGTATCGCATGCACGGCAACAGATCTGGATCTACCCGCATTCTTGTGTCACAGCCCGTCTAACAATCGAGATGTGGGGTTTTTGAGACAAACCTGATAATCGCATGCAGCATGCAGATGAGGTGGAGACGCAGTGGACAGACCTAAGCATCTCTCACGCCCCCCATCAACCAAACGTACATGCATTGATCCACATGCATTTAACGGAAAGCTGTAATGGCAACACCAAGTTGCTGGCCTGCTTGAGAGCATATTCGGGAACATGTTTCTCAGGGTCTATCATGGTCCCCAGCACTGAGCAGGCCAAGAATCTTAATGTTCTTCCTTTCTCCTGCGTATTCTAATCATTCGCTGTTTCATCTTTCCATTCTAACCTTTTGTTACTTCCCCAATTTTCTGCCAATTCATATCACAGCACTACCCTTGAACCTTCAATACTATCTTCTCAGCTTCCTAGTGCAAGAGGAGCAAGCAGCCACCGCGTCTTGCATTCAGTACGCAAGACACAGAACTTCTCATTTCTTTCTTTAGATATTTTCCCGCTTGGCCAGAAAAATGACGGTATCATCAAACTCCAATGATCGTGATCCTTCCAACAGGGCTTTGGGGCCATCCGACGCTGCAACTTACAGCATCTATGCCAGCTCTGCAGGCCAAAGTCCCGGTGAAAATATTCAGGTTTTGGCAGCAGGAAGTAACCTGGATAAGTTCGTGGCAGGCTTAAACTCCAGCCAAGTCATCACTTTATCCAGCGCGCCAAACCCCACTGCCAATTTCAACGATTCTGACGAGACCATAAAATGGTTTCAGAACCTTGATGCCGATGCCAGTGGCTCCATCACCGTCGATGGGTCAGCAACAAAGAGCATTGAAAGCTTCCAATTTTCCCTCTCTCAGCCCTGGCCGCTTGAATTCAGCTCCGCCAGCGATGTTCTGCTCTTCACATTTGGGTCCACCGGCCTTCTGGGTGGCGATGACACAGGGTCCCGAATTGAAGCACCTGGCATTGACTCTACTGGCAACATGCTGATTTGTGGTCTTGACTTTGCCAACATGGAAGATATCACCGGGTTCACAGTAAAGGACGTCTTCAAGAACGCTAATCAAGAAGGGATGACTGATTACATCCCTCTTGTCATCCTCGGCCTCGAAGTGACACTGAACAAGCCTCCCGCTGACGCAGAACCCAAGAGGAACGCTCTGTGGTTCGTCCCATCAGCGGATAAACGGCTCGAGACCCGCCTACAGTTCCAGCTGTCAGAGTTCGACGACTTGCAGAAACTCTTCTCAATTGCCTTAAACGGCCTGGTGATTGAGAGCGCAGACGTCGTATACAAGAGCAAAATGCTACTGGCTGTGACAGAAAACGGCGAGCAGCCTCTCTTCGATGGTCAAGTGACATTCAGTATCGAATGCTCCCTCAATAGCGCTGGAAGTACAGTCTCTATGCTCGCAGGCGTCGAATTCACTGCTACCACGATTGACTTTACCTTCATGTTCCTCTCCCCAGATCCACTGGCTGGAATACTGAGCTGGCTGGCTGGACTTGCGGATGATGAAGAAGTTGAGACAATCGTCAATGAAATTCTGGGCAAGGAAGAAGGTGGACAGAAGGTTCTGCCGGACGCCAATTTGCGAAGACTGCGCATCGGACTTGATACAAGAAAGGATCCGCAGAATCCCAGACTCGGGTCCTTTTCTTTTGACATCGAGGTCTCTGCGAACTTTGGCCGTGGTGAGAGCACTGATACTCCTGTCTTCTTGATCACGTACAATTGGAATCGGTCTAGCGGTACTTATGGTACTCTTTCTGGACAGCTATGGAACGGTAAGTGGTACCATGTTTCGGCAATTCTCCATGTTTGTTGCTGATTGAGGTCATCTTCTAGACTTTGACACGTCCGATGACCTGGACCTGGAACCAGAGGGAGAGAAGTGGGCTATTTTGAAGCCACTGACGGCTTCACCTGCGTTGTCTATCGAAATTGCCACTCTGATCCCCGGCCAGACAGTGGTCGATATCCCTGACACCCTGCCTTCCCAGATAACCGTTGCTTCCATTGAGTTATCACAGGAATCGTTTTCCCTTAGCTGCCAAGCGACTGCAAACCCGCCATCTCCAGGTTCAGCTCCTCAACCCTATCTCGGCGAGGTTGTTCTCGCTGCCTACTTCAACTGGGGCAGCAGCTCAGGGTTCACTTTTGACTTTGGGATATCAGTCCTCATCGACCCCCCAGAGGATTCTGAGCTCGATCTTCCTGCTTCCTTTGTCGGAACCCTCGGGTACAATTCTGCTAAAAGGTCCTGGGAGCTCACGGCTTCCATTAATGGATTGTATGCAGCTGTGCTAGCCGAGTTCTTCCACGATGATGAGAAAGCCCATGTTGGGCCGCTGATCAATTCCATTGCTATCAACACCTTGTCTGTTGAGTACACATATGAGCAACAGAGCGGTAATAATCCCAAATCTGTGGGCAGCAGGTTCGCTATCTCTGGCGACTTGGTCATTGCGGGGTTGAGATTGAATCTCGACTTCACCTACACATCAAGTGGCTTTGCCTTCTCTGCGGCCCTTAACCCGGCTCAGAGGGATGCCACTATTGGAGACATCTTGACGGATCTTCTTGGTTCTTCTTTTGACATACCAGACTTTGTCTCCGACACCTTGATTGTCGGCGACAATCAGGACGCGTTCCGTATCAACATCCAGAAAATGAAAGACGATTCCAACGTCGAGTCATTCCAGTTCCTTGCCAGTCTCAAAATTGGCCAACTTCAATTCCTATTCTCCCAGCTTCACAGCACCAAATGGGGTCCCAAGGATCCTTCAAAGCGACTGTTCAAAGCAGCCATCAATGGCTTTGGGAACATGAAACTTGAGATTCCTCTTGTCGGCACGCTGTACCAGCCACTTGATGAGCTGTACTTCCTCTTCGCCCAGGATCCCAAACCACCAAGAGCACCTGGACAGCTCACTGGGCTCACGCGAGAAGATATTGGTCTACTCAACAGCGGCGTATTGAAAAGCGATCAGCTGCTTGTTGCTGATAAGATTAAGCCTGACAAGGCACAGCCAAGCGACCTTCTAGTGCCGTCTGGATGTCACTTCGCAGTCATTATTCGCAACATGGCCAAGGGTGAGCGCGCGTGTCTGCTCAGCTACGGTTTCATGACACCCAAACCTTCGTCCTCCCAAGCCCTGGTCTCTGGTGCCGAGCAAAAGGGCAGAAGACGCACCGAGGAAGAAATGGACGATGGAGGTCCCAGTGCCCAAGCGCCATTCAAAAAGGATACAGGGCCGGTGGCCATCAGCAACGTTAGTCTCAAGTACAAAGCGAAGACACTGTCGATCGTCTTTGACGCTACCTTCCAGCTTGGACCGATTGGATTCTCTCTTCTTGGCTTCACCCTCAACACCCGATTCAAGACACTGGACGAGTTACCAACAATCAGTGTCAACATCGATGGCTTAGCAGCATCCTTTGACAGACGTCCATTGACAATCGCTGGTATCATCGTGCACGGCAATGACGGCGCCATGGATTACTACGCCGGTGGTCTGATCATCGGCTTCCGTCCCTATCAGTTCCAAGCAGCCGGCTTCTACGGCGTCATCACTCTGCCAAACAGCAGCAAAGGTTTTCAGAGCGTGTTCGTGTTTGCAAAGCTCAATGGTCCACTCATGACGCTTGCGTTTGCTGAGATCAGTGGAATCTACGGTGGTTTTGGGTACAATAGCAGCGTCAAGCTGCCTTCTGTAGACCAAGTGTCGGATTTCCCCTTCATCAACAGCGGTCGTCTCAGCGATAACGAGAATGCGCAGCAAGTGCTTATGGAGCTCGTGGACCCTTCAGCTGGTGGATGGTTTCAGCCACTTGACAGCACGTACTGGGGCGCGATTGGCATGAAGCTCTCTGCGTTCCGCATGCTGAGCGTTGACGCAGTGGTCGCTGTACAGTTCGGTGACTCGGTCAAGCTGGGCATTTTCGCTGCAGCAGTCTGCGACATTCCGTCTTCCAATTCACGACTCAAGCTGGCCCATGCAGAACTGGGTATTGCAGCTGTCTTGGATTTCGACTATGGATTCCTCAAGATCGAGGCGCAGCTATCACCCCGCTCATACATCCTCAGTCCCAACTGCCATCTCACCGGCGGCTTTGCTCTTTGCTACTGGTTTGATGCACCGCTCGCTGATCGGGCCAGAATAGGAGACTTTGTCTTCTCCTTGGGCGGGTACCACCAAGCTTTCCGCGTTCCTGTCGGTTATCCTAATCCCCCTCGGCTAGGTATTAGCTGGGACCTGGGTGGTGGTTTGTCCATCTCTGGAGAAGCATATTTTGCCATCACTACCAAGGCATGCATGGCTGGTGGGCGTCTCCATGCTGCGTTTAAAGCAGGACCTCTCTCTGCCTGGTTCGATGCCTTTGCCAATTTCCTTATCAATTATCGACCCTTTTACTTTGACATGTCAGCTGGTGTCTCAGTCGGAGTCGGATTCAGCATCGATTTCTGGTTCATCCACATTCGCATTTCAGTCCAAATTGGTGCTGAGTTGTACCTCTGGGGACCACCTGTTGCTGGTCGCGTTCACGTTGACTTCTGGATCGTTGCTTTCGATATCAATTTTGGCGATCACCACCCCAAGATCGACCCTGTCAGGCTGTCCGAGTTCTACGAACTTGTTCTTCAGGACTCGCCTGCATCATCCTTTGCCTCTGCCTCTGCCCTGATTACAGGGAAACAGCAGCAGGAACCTATTGCAGCGTCCACTTTGACTAGACCCAAGAATGAGGCACATAACTTCCTTGCTGAGTCTGGATTGTTGAACCCTGATGACCAACCAGAGCGGGGACAGGAAGACCCCTGGACTGTCCGAGCTGGTGCATTTGTGTTTGTTGCAGAGTGCAAGATGGCCATAAGTACCGTCAAGACAAGCGAAAGTGGTACTCCAATCTTTCAAGGCAGCGACGTTTTCAGCAAGCCAATGGGACTGACAACACCCATGACTTCGACCCTGCAGATTCAAGTAATCCATGAGGATGGAATCGACCGCGAAGAGGACTGGCAATTCGAGAGATATACTCAGATGCTTCCGAGCGCTCTCTGGGCAAAGTGTAAGTTCTCTTTACCGCTTCGGCAACCCTAGCTGACCCATCCCAGATGACCGCCGAACTGATCCACGTCAGAGTGGAAACAACGTTGGTGATTTGCTCAATACCAATGATGGCAGCCCTCCTCTCATGACAGGCGTGAGAGTCACTGCACCCAGGCCTACCATGTCTCCCGATCCATTCCCAGCTTACAAGGTTGCAGACGCAGACCTCCAAGAGCTGACCGCAGAGCGGAAGCTGCCTGTCATGGTTACCGCTGACAATGCATGGGAACCAGTCAAGCCGAACGACATTGTGAAGCAGCGATACGAAGACATTCATGAGGCTTGGGTGAACCCTTCGCTGAAAGAAGAGGGACAGCAAAGCTTCGTGGGCGCCTTGGCCGAGGGCTTGGGATGGAGTGATGCGAGTCAGCTGAAGAGCCTTGCTGGAATTCCGGAGAGATTGAAGAGGGGCTTTATGAACATGTATGTCGCGTCTCCATTGCTGACTGCCTGACTTCGATGACACTGCGTGGATTACTGCTTTTATTCCAAACATGATGACGGGCAGTAGTAAGAATAAATTGAGAATCACATGTCCTCGAGCTGATTAATTCTTCATATGTGCAATGTTCCTCTCCAACTTTTACTGTAATTCAACCCTTATCTAGATGCCAATAAAGCGTTAAATATACAGAAGACCAGTCGGAGGTCGAGCTGCTTGTGCCACGCCCCGTCGCGCAAGAGGTCCCCAGATCTTTGGTCTAGTTCACGTTGTGCATATCAGAGATAAAAGGCTGAGTGCATGGCAGATCAGCACACCCCATGTCCCAGTATCCCATTTACCCCTATTTCCAAAGGCACTGTATACCGCGAGGCACAGCTTCTCAGCGTGGCCATTGGTGCACATACGTTAAGGAAATCTTGTCTTAAACCAAAAGCTCCCATGCTGCCTTGGCAGTGATGCCCAGAAGCACAAATGAACTTGCGGCAAAAGTGGGGAAGCGCAGGTTAAGGTTGTTGGTCGTGACGTGAATGATGCTGTGAAGGAATCTCAGACCGACATAGCCCCACGCCAGGCGCACCGTGACCTTGTCCTTAACACCCAACAAGGTCAAAGCAAGCATTACGGCATAGAACTGAGTAGGTTGCTCGAGCAAGTTATTGAAGTTGTCAGCCGGCCACTGCACGTAAGGAGGCAGTTTGTCTGCTTTCTGCCTCTTGACCGTGGCGGGATCGAACGTGACGTCGTACTTAGAAAGCGCTGGAATTCGGCGTGCATACAAGAGGCCTTCCATTGCGAATGTCCAAGTGCTGAGGCCGACCAGAGGACCCAGGAGCGGCAGATTGTGAATAGAGGGAGACATGATGCGTATCGGAAAGTTGTTTTAAAGATGAATGAGTAGGTGTAATTGTCTCGGTATAGGTATGCAGTCAAGGGAAGAGCTGCGCATCTATGATAGTGATGCAATAAGTAATAAAGCAGAAATTATAGAGATTTATATAATTATCGCTTTGCTATGCGAATATAACCTCAAAATGGTAAGTGGTACATAAATCCGTTAAGTCCGCCAAGTCCGTCAAGCTTACTAAGTACCAACCGCTTAAAGAATTTTCCTACTCAAATTTATAATCAATTCAGCCAAACTGACTCAAGAACTTAAATTAATTTAGATATGGAACATTTCTATCAAGACTCCATCCACAAGCTAATGGATATGCCAAGAAGGGTGTATTATGTCGCGTGATGAGATTGTCACTGTTAAAGGGGTCTGCTGAACCTCGAGCTAAACCTGTTTCTTAGTGGATCTATTACGCCCGGTCTCCACATGACTTATGAAATGAAGGATTTGCCAGTATTCTAATGATTTAACAAACTTGCTATATCCTCCTTTCGGGCTCCAGAGTGTCGGCTTCCATTAATTTGCAGAGCACGCGGCCTATGGATAGCCTTTTGCGGGTAGGAAGAAGCATTGAATATGTACTAGGCGTACTTGGCAATTAGCAGCATCTCAGCTGAGGATCTTTATTGCTTTTCTACTCTCTCTATGATTAAACTTTAAGCTGAGCTGTAGGAATACTTGAGTTTTTTTATCAATACCTATCAGATCTGTCTGTTTAGTGTTCACACACACATATATATATACTTATACCTATTTAATTATAGATAGGTTCCCTACTAGGCCCTGCCTTTTCCTTATCTGCTGATGTCGTACTTCCATGATGGTCTTTAGCTCCAAGCTCAAGGTCTTGACTGTGTAAAGACTCCCCTCTGCCTTGTATACTTCCAGTCCCATGTGCATGGGCTTCGCAGGGACCAAGAACATAAGCATCTTCTCCATGAACTGCATCATCTCCTAAAAGTAGCTGATCCTCTGTCATTCTAAGTGGAATTCGTAGCACATGCTTAATAAAGAGCATGATAAGGCTGGTCCAGACAAGGTTCCAGCCGATTATAAAGCATGCACCCGCCATTTGGTACCCAAGCTGCATACCGTTACCAGCGATGGCTCCTCCGGGATTGGTCAGACCAAAGGCTGCGCAACCATCCACAGTAGCCCAAAGACCTGTACCAAACCCTCCAACAACACCAGCCACCATGTGAGTGTGCATGACACCAAGTGTGTCGTCAAAGTTGCGCTCCAGAAAGGTCATCTTCTTGGCCAAGATATTCATGGTGAACCACGGAACCGAGCCTGAGCCAACACCAAGAAGGATTGCGCCCCAGCCTGCGACAACGCCAGCGGCTGGTGTGATGGCAACAAGCCCAGTGATCATTCCCTGCACGGCTCCAATGACGGAAGGCTTCTTGAAGTATGCAATGTCCAGACCCGTCCAGACAAGAAGCGAGACAGCAGTGCAAAGATTCGTGTTCAGCACTGCGACTCCTGCGTCGGCAGAGGCTGCGTAAGGATCACCACCATTGAAGCCGTTCCAGCCAACCCAGAGGATGCCCGCGCCAATGAGAACTGCCAGAATATTGCTTGGTCTGGCATCTGCACGATCACTGCTGAGTCGTGGTCCGATCCAGTAGCTACCGATAAATCCTGCTGTACCCGAGGACAGATGGATGACATATCCTCCAGAATAATCGATAACTCCGAGCTTGAAGAGGAAACCTCCTCCCCAGATTGAATAAGCCCCAACAGTGTAACATAGAGTCAGCCACAGAGGAACATATACCATCCAGGCGTAAAAGTTCATCCGACCGAGGAAAGCTCCGGCAGTAATGACCAAGGTAATGGCGGCAAAGACGAATTGGAAGTACACCATAGTGGCCATGGGGAACTGCTGACCAACGCCGATGGAAGGAAGGTATGATTGCTTCAGCATCGTGTCAATGCCGAGGACATTTCCGGGTTTGGCAACGAATGGAAGCATATACTCTCCAAAGGAAGCCTTGTAACCCCAAAGAACCCAGCAGAGCAGCACTGAGGCAAATGCGTATAGGGCCATGAAGGCACTATTAATGGCCCATTTTCGTTTCATGATTCCTGCATAGAGGACCAAGAGCCCGGGGATCGATTGTAGCGCTACGAGAGAAGCGGCTGTAAGTTGCCATGCATTGTCACCTACACGACGTCAGCCATTGAATGCATGAACGAGAGATGGTTGCCCTCTTGGACGATAGAATATCTAACCACTTACCACTTCCAACACCGGCTTTGGGATCTGGCGTCCACCAAACGACGGACGGCGCGGCTGCAGCAGCCGAAGACGTGGTTGTTGCCATAGCTCACGCTATTAAGCACCGTACTGCGTACAAAAAAAACACAGTCTTATGACGTTCCAGCACAGGCCCACGGGAGAGTCCTCAAGTGCCGGGAATAACGTTTGGGGTTTTTAAGAGCTGGAATCAATGGCGTTTGGAAGAAGTATTTATTCTGATTCCAACTGGAAGCGTCACCATGTGGATCAGCTTTATTATAGCCAATGTCATGTACATGCCAATGGCTTGAGATTGTGAATTTACGTAAGTCGAAAATCATCAAGATTGTCGATAAGTATTATCAAGAGCATGCAGAGTGGGTTTGTGCCGAGTTGCCGCAACTGTGTGGTATGTTAAGCTTCTAAGCCAGAACAAGGTTATCGCAGCATTGTGGTTGGCGACTGCGTGTTCGATCTTTAGCCAGAACACCTGTCAGTCTAATAAAATTAGACCAAGCCAATAATACGTCAGAAAATAACTTTGATTGTGTCTGTGTGCGCCCAAGTCTTGAATGCTTGGGTTAAGGCTTACGTTTTCCAAATCTGTCGGGGCTAACAACCTTTCTGAGTCTTTATATCATATAGCTTTGGTTAGCCAGTCAGATAGATAATGAGATTGCCCGTGGGGAAACTTCTTGGCAAAAGCTTGTCTGACTCTAAATATAGATTCAGGCATTATATGTGCAAGATCGGACTAGTCGTCGTAAATTGCTCAAGACCTACTCCATAACGCTATCTTATCTCGGCTTAGACGGCAGCTACATCGTGGCGTCAGCAGAAGCTAGTCTAGAGGTTGACGAAACCGAACCTACTGTGGCTTGTGAACTGATAAGATATATCGAATAAGGGGTTAAGACTCTCATAAGATAGGGGATTACTAGGTGATGGATGGTATGTCGTCTGGGGAGGAGATGGTTGGGCCAGTAAACGGCGTTTGTCTTATCTGGCGCTAGTACATAATTAGCTCTCCAGAGCCGATATTGCCGAGTTATACAGATATGTCTAGGACATGTATCCCAAGCGTTTATTTTCTCTTATTAATTTCTGGTTCCCCTTCTCGAAGGTAATTGTCTCTAAAAACTAACACCAGGGGAAGTTTGGTTATCATTAGTATTATTAAATACTGCTATAGTATTTGTTAATCTGATTATTGTGCCTCTCACTTTCTAGTGAGCTTGCAATATGTCTTTAATTACAAGTTGGGAAATGCTTTATCTTGAAATTAACATGCGGGGAAATATTATAAATATACTTACAGGACCTTCACCTGAGTTATGCTCTTGGGTGGAAATACCCTCTTTGCAGTAGAGTATGGAGCAGCGACTTTGTCTAATTATAAACATTTTGAAGGTGAAGAGCAACAACAAAGAAAAGACTGCACAAGACGATATCTTCTAATACTCTCAGCTGCAAGCTGAGTGTAGACTGCCAGTTAGGTTCAATTAAGATAGGGTCTTCGTCATAAGATGGAGGATTAAACAATCATTCAATGATATCAAAAGTGCGAAGGAAAAGAGTATAAAATTGTATATGAAAAAGCATGGAAAAGCTAAAGTCCTAAGGGAGATCCATACCTTTATGTCTGTCACCACAGACATCCATCTGACCCTACCGAGGCTAGACCTCTTACCCTGGAGTGCTTGCCACAACCGTCATAATATTTAATGAAGACTAGTTTATAGACAAAAGCTACCTACTGCATGCTTAATAAGATTAGACTCACCGAGAGTTGGGCTATTGAAATTGCTGCTGGTATCTTCTAAAGACTACTCCGTACTTGTGCACGACTAGACAAGCTTTCTTATAGGCGAGAAAGCTGTCATCTTACGTATAGCTTAATCCCAGAAAGAGAACCGATAACTCGTAGAAAAAGCAAGGGAGCCCGGAACCGGGAACTAATGTATTGGGTCAGAATATCTTATTCCATTACAATACAGGTTACACAATCTTCTTCCATGTCTTCCGGCTTTCAGTGGCTTCCAAAATGCTATTTGCCGTTGGTACTTCCTGCGCCTATATTTTGACGGTGACTGCGGGGCTATTCTCCTGATGCCACTTCGGCACTTCGAGGCGGATAGCTCGATGTTGACTCGCTATCGGTATAAAGCGGAAAGGTTATCTGCTGAACGATAGTTACAAAGTACCTGATGTGCCCGGCTCAATCTCTGATACTTCATCTTTGCAAATATTGCTCTATCCCAATTAACTGTCCAACCTAAACCTTCCCTAGAGGCTCCAGTACAAGCTGGCCATATACACGCACTCTTCTTTCTCAAACTAGTTGCTACTCCTGTGACCGACGCTGCACATGGCGCCATCTGTTGAACACTTCAAATTCCGGATTCTTATAGTGGGCGCCGGACCCGTCGGTTTGACCGCGGCTGCAGCACTCAGTCAAGATGGGCACTCTGTAACTGTCCTCGAAAAACATCCTGACCTCCAGGCCCAAGGTGGTACACTTACCGTCCAACCAGCCGCCGCACGAACGTACACGCACATCGGGCTCGGCGCAGCTCTGGAAGCTATCAGCATCACTGGCCATGGCCTCCATTTTTGGTCGTATAAGGACTCCTCTGGGCCTATAGGTGTTGTGTCTTACGGGAACATGAAAGCGTTTATGAATGAGAGGCCAGCTGTGCAACGGATGGCATACGATGCGTCGATCGCAGCTGGAGTGACTGTTTCGTTCGATTGTCATGTCATTGGGCTAGGCCAGAACGCGTTGCCCGTCAGATTGTGGACGGCAGATGGCCGAGAATACACCGCCGACCTCATAATTGCAGCGGATGGAATCAAGTCCAAGATTCAGCGAATGATATACCCGGATAGAGATGTCGGGCCAGTTCCTACTCGCGAGTTCATATTTCAATCCCAGGTACCTCATGATATCCTCATATCGGACGATCGCGTGGCTCCCTACCTCGCACCAAATACGCCCACGGCACACTGGGTCCCAGCAAGTTCTCCATTTGTCGAGCGACAGCGGAAGGCAGCTTCGCAATGACATCAATAGTGATGGATTACGGACTACCACCCGCACAAGGCAATATCAACGCTAGTTGGACCATGCCTGGCGATCATGATGAGCTTCGAGACATGTTCAAAGCCTTTCCGGTACCGCAGCGCGCCTACCTGGAGCACGTAAGCAAATGCACGAAATGGCGTATTGCCATCGCTGCCGAGATTCCCAAGTGGATTGGCAAAAGCAGCCGCGTGATCCTGTCGGCGATGCCTACTACTTCAGCAGGCATGCTCCTTATTAAACCTAAATTGACCATACTGTCCATAGTAGCCGAAGAGCTCCGCCGGCTTATATATGGGCTACGTTGCATGCTCTCCGCCTTAAGGCAATGCTATACCCGCAAATTGAGATACTTGTTTAAACGTCCAACTTTCAGCTTTCTTACGCCAGGTCTAGACTCGATGTACTCGCCATTTCAATAGTCCGAGAAGTGGCGACGCCACAATGAAACTCTGACCACAATGCGGACACATCCTTCCGACAGCGGGAGGAGGATCACAACCCGTAGGGGCTAGGATTAAAGCCACTCAACAGCCAACGGTAATTTCCGCTGTTACTCTGATGCAAGAGTGAACAGTGAGTTCGGTGGTCTTGTGTGAGAGGGAAGAGATGATCTTTGGATGCTGGCCCCAGTTGCACAAACAGCTATTGCCATCCCCAATGCAGCTATGCGTTTCATAAGTACTGCTCGGTCTGAGGCCCTTGATCGTTACTCCAATCTCGTGCAAGGGTTCGGCATTCAGCTGACCAGCCATTACTATCAGTGTCTCACAAATGATATAGCACGGAAATGAATTCTCTCAAACTTTACCTGAATAAGGAAGTGATTTCTGCATTGGGCTCATTTAATTGACGCCACGCAAGCCATCAAACGTTCTTATTGCACCACAGGTAAAAGCCTTAGCATACATTGATCCACACTTGTTCTCGATTGAACTGGGCTTTCAAGGTATTTGATAGACCAATCTACAGTAGCGGAGACGATACGTACGTTCCAAAAACGTTACACCTAACAGCTGATACCCCAACCTCTGGCGAACCTGAACATTTCCACTCGCCACCAGAGTCGCGATGGATCGATAATAAGCCAGGCCCGTATTCCAGGCTGTTGTGTTCGATAATCAGGTGCGAAGAAGCTAAGGTTCCAAAAGCCTAACCGACCTTTCCTCCCAACTTTCAGTGAGGTCTTCTCTTAGTTATGCTGAGAAGTCTGCCTTTGAAGCAGGACATTGCAAAATAGTAGTATGTGAGAGCATTGAGCACGGTCTTTAGACGTCAGAAGATCATCAATGAGCAGGGCTGAAAGCCCCTTTTGTACACGGACATTAGATTCAGTTGGCGGGATCTGAGTAACCCAGTATGCTCTATTCGATGCAGTATCAGAAGCTAGTTACATATATCTTGCAGAACGGACAAAATACCGAGGTTCTCGAACTGTGGCCGATATGTGTTATTGGTTGTTGAGCTTTACGGCTGAAAGGATTTTCTTCCCGCGTGATATTATGTGCAAGGTAGGTATGCAAGCCACCTCAAGTCTAGATTCTCGGCCTTCATGCTGAGGTTGCTAAACGAGTGATATTAGTTGAGGCGGGGTTCCGTCCTTTTGCCTTCCTTGCCCCTTCACCTCCTCTATTAACACGTATTGAGCAGAAGGCATTGCTTCCCTCTCCAAAAAGGAAACCCCATATTCCTGACACCAAACAGAGCCGCATCCGAAGGGAGACGAATGCTATAAGTCCCAATGACCACTGATTTGCACAAACCCGATCCTGTGCCTCAGCCACCGGCACAGAAGCTAGCCCGACGAGACGATATTGAGAAGCTGATCTCTGGCACACTTACCCTGACAGTTGCCCCAGATCCAACATGCGGATATGGCGCGTTTGGCCAAAATTGGCTATGTCCGTTGGGGGGGCGCTGCGTATGGGAATCGGGCGAAATCAACCGTGCGTGGTGCGAATCGGGCCGCCCGCCCGCAACTACGTGTTTTGACAGCACCGACTACTACGACCCAGCCAAGTGTAACATTGAATGTCAAAACAACGTCTATAATGTTTATTGGTGAGTTCAAATATCTTTTGTTTCTTTCGGCAGTTGGTTTATTCTGACACACTGTTATATTTGTAGCGGTTCGGCTGTCGCGCCCTTGTGCGGTACCTTTGCATTTAGCGACGGCGTTCTCGCCTATGGGTGCAGTATATCCGCATTCACTATCTTATACGATAGTATAACTTCTCTATACCCTCGCAAACTTGACACCGTGGTCGTTGTGGATGGGCATCAAGTTACGGGTGGATCAATGAATTCGAATTTGGCAATAACTATAACAAAACTAGTATCTGCCACAAAGACAAGCCTCCCGATTGCAACATCTGTACCTGGATCTACGTCTTCCAGCCATAGGTCAGGTACCAATGTTGGTGCGATCGTTGGTGGTATAGTTGGCGGCCTGGCCGTCATCGTTATAGCAATTCTTGGGTTTATGTTTCTCCGCCGCCGACGAGGCAGAAGGGAGAGTGGATCTGGGTTGGACTCAGGCTCGTCACCCCAGCCTCAATTTATACCTAATGTACAAGACATGGCCCAAGCCGGACACCAGTACGATACCGTACCAGTTCAATCAAGCCCTGCACCCCCTTATCCAAAGTCGCCTCTTGTTGAGGCAGCCAGCCCCTCATCTCCTCATCCAACGTCGCTTCTTGTTGAGGCACCCAGTCCGGATACTGTATGGAGTCATGAGCTTGACAGTGGGAGGACGGGTCATCATCGTGGGTCGATTCAGGAGATGGGTTAGGATTTTCAATTTCAAGTCACGGTTTGGGTTCTTTTGGTCGATGATTGTTCCAGATTGAATTTGAATGTGTGAGGCGTAAAATTATTACATTTGCAGTGAAACAATACGTTCCGGGACTGTTGAGAACTGACAGGTCTACTAATAGTGAGATCTACGTGGAAGTATTATCCAGGCAATAAAGACAGAGTTTAGCCATAATACACGACGGATCGCCTAGCAGATTATGATTTAGATAGGACCCTTTGATTTTAGTAGTGCTACCTGCTCTCGCGAAATAGCACAGAGCCGGGGCTATCTTATATATATGGCTAAGTAGTTAAGGATTATGCTAATAGAAACTAATTACTAAATAAGTAATAAGCTTCTAATATATAATTTATACAAGCTCTGCCTAGCTTATAATTAACTGCTTTTTAATTAAATATTTATTATAACTAATAACATAAAATAAATATAATATAGTTTTAGAATTATTATTTAAATATAATATAAAATAACTTATTTATATAACTAGGTTCAGGCTATAATTAAGGCAGCTAATTATGGTAATATTAACTTAATAAAGTTTATTTACTAAGAGGTAATAAATATTTAAATTATATAAGATTTTAAGAATACTTAGTTATATTCTTTAAAACTAACTCATAAACTTTAAAAAAAGATATTATAATTTTAAATAATTTTTATTATAAAAAAGATAACTTTTTTACTACTTGAAGAAAAGGTAAATTATAATATATAAAAAAGGTAAATTAGCTAATATACTATAGTAATAAGTAGTAAGGTCTTATATTTAGCATAAAGGCGCCTAGCTTGTGCCAGCTATTCTCCTTGGCTAATGCTATGCTATAATGTCCGAGGTGACTTACTAGATCCTCTCCTATGAGATCTATTTTTGCTGACGATTATATAAATCAGACCTTAAACTTATTGACCAGGTGTTCCATAGCCTGGGTTTTAACTGGGCAAACCAATGTCTAGAGCCCTTATCATAATAACCTTACGAAGAAGTCAACGAGGAGCGCCCCTGGAAGAAATGGGCTGCTGAAGAAGTTTATCACAGCGCGCTTGTTGGCCACTACATTTTCGACGGCCAACTAAGCTATCTCTCAGGTCAACCAAGAGCTGGTACACTACATGCCATAGATACTGTCAAGCTTTCCGCTTGTTCAAAGGCTTTTAAAGCGCGGGATGCTCAGGAGTGGCGCCGAGCGATGGCCAACAGCAATCCGAAGGGCCTGTGCTCTTTCAGTGATATTTATCACGAGATCTTCACCATTAAGGATACGCGTAAAAGCATCACTAGATGTACATGTTGTACTTGAATGTCTACACACGCTGGTCCGACAGAACCGCAAGGCACCATCTTCAAAGTCGATCGTCAAAATACCAGCACTCCCCGATGTGAAGCAAGCTCCAGTGCGGGTGTTCTAGCTTTTAAATAACACATAGTCCTTTGATGAGACCGAGCGCCTAGAGTTAATGAGTAGATAGCACTTTATCTGCCTTGACCTTTTCTGCGACTCCATGGAACCTTTTGACCAAATCTGTCGACATCTTCAGATTGACTAGCACATTTTTAAGTCAGAAAACAGCGGCAAAGAGCTTAAGGTCTCGATGGAGTGGATCAGAGGGTCTACTGATGCTAGATGTGCCCTTTTACGCGCCGTTGCTATACAGGACAGCGTCAATCGACTCCCATTCAACCGCACAACACCTTCTGGGTGCCCTTGTCTATATTCGCCGCCTCAGTCATTTATTGGCTTAGTCTTCTAAATGGTATGATATCTATGTCTGTGCCTGCATCGGTACACTTGGAGTCTACACTGATTGATCAGACAAACACCGGGAGCTTAGGGCAAGATGTCTCTTTGAGATTTAACGTCATAAAGGCCTGGGTCTTTTTCCAAAAGACAAACTACGGTATAGGACCAGCCCGAAATCTGCCATTTGAGATGAAAAAGATGCAGACTATAATGCATGGGGTTGCTGGCCAATGAGGCATGCCTGTCGAGATGGTAACCGTTTTGTCACAACTAGAAACTTTGAAGCCGATGGAAGATTAAGCAAGAACCCATCAAGTTCTTCGTCCTCTGCGAAGCGGAGATAGACTGCAATAGTATATATGTATTTGTGAAATAGCTATGTGTTTGTGAACAAGATGTATCGCTATTCGGCGCCAATGAACTTTTTATGCATGCTCGCAAGGGTCATTAACATGGCGAAGCATAGCTTGGAGATTCAGACCAGTGTCACCGTGACAGATTGCGTCGCCGATGCTATTTAAATGTCAGATCTAGTCGTTGTCAAATGGGGGCCATATTGAACTTACTGTGAGCTGCACTTGTCACGAATATAGCTGACAACCCAAGCTGCCTCGCTCATCTTGAGGTGAGTATTCTGGGCGGCCCAGTACTCATTCGCTACACAGATCTTGGCCTGGCCCCATCTATATTCAAACTGCCATTGCTGGCCGCTAGTTTGGAAATGGAGAAGGAATGTGTTACCGCCAATCTTGTAAAGTTGATCAATCAGTCCTTGGATGTCCTGCGAAGGAATGGATCGCCAGCCGCTGTTATTGCTACCCGTGTTATAGCAATAGTCGCCTCTTTTGAAAATTCCTTCGGATTCATGCTCGGGTTTCGATATCGCAGCGGCCATGGCGGCTGGAAGGCCGGCGATTAGGGTTAAGACTGAGGGGAGATGCATGATGTTTTGATATGGAAGATTGATGAATGCAGAGAGTGCTAATGGTTGCTGAGAAGCCTGAGAAATAAAAAAAAGCACATTCAAGATGCGTTTATATATAAGGACTATATGGTTTAAACCTCGGCCAGGTGTTTAGAGTATCATATCTCATGTGTTCAATAGGTGGATAAATTACAGCTGACTAAGTGGATGTGTAATGACTTGTGATGCTTATGAAAGCCTTTGGTTATATAGAAATACAGAAAAAAGAGACAAGGCTCAGGTAACACTAATGCATGTAGTAAGGTAAACGAAATTTCCTCGTATTTCGGCGGGGTTTTTGGCGGGCCAAAGTGGGCTTTGACCCGTTATGTTCCTTTCCAAGCGTCGGCACTCAAGTGGCACGGCGAAAAAGGCCCGAAGCGGCCGCCTTATCCTAACTTCCTTTTATAGTTAATTATGTATGTGAATAGTCCCATAAGTAACATTGTCATTGGTGGAGTACAGTCCAACGATGTTATTCGCCTTAGCTTCCAGCTATTGGCGCCATACTATGGCGGCCATAGGACTGTGACAAACGCCCTGAATCAAATTCTCAATCCCTACTCCGTACTGATTTCCACATTCATACTCTCGCATGTCATTTCGAACTCATCATCGGAGCCCATAGGCAATACTCATCAATGTTCTTTAGCAGAACATTCATTGGCTTCGCTCGTTAACTTATTTTCGTTATCTTCCTGAGACTCCTTCTTTTCATCCTATTCAAGTAAGTCCTCATTGTCTCTGTGCGTGGATGGGTCGGCCTGTGGGTCATCTGTTAAAATCAGTCTCAATGGGTATGCAACATTTATGAAAAATTTGTAAGACTACTTTTAAATACCCTCAAGTCCATTTGGTAGACTTTTTATAATGGCTGAATACTTCTTCCATATTGAAACATCAGAACTTTCCTTACTATCGCCACGAGTCTCCGGCTGGGTTGTACTGGTTGACGGTTTTGCCTTGTGAGTGATCGTGATTGTTACATTAGATGTGATAGGGTATGTCACCTGCATCGGCTTCGCACCTGAGTTTCTAGTGACAGGTATGTTTATTGCTTGGGGCGTTTTACTAGCAAGAACCCTAGTACTGATTGCAATTCTACTGGCTGGGAATTTACTAGTAATAGTGAAGGCAAAGGTCGCCGCGCGGACTTCTCACGTGTCTCCAATAGGTGTTGAGGCGATGGTTCCTGATGACATGAGATCATTAGCAACTCAAAAGGACTGCAGATGGCCATTCTAATTAGGGTCTTTATCTGCTACTGTATTATTGCCTGATATCTAAGAAGCAAGCTCCTACAATGGTTCATATAGCGAGCAAACTAGCCTTAAGTACTCCTACTGAGTCAAAATTGGAAAAGGATTGCCAGAATCTCCAAAGTCAATATTATAGCAATGTACCAAATAGTCAATATGGACTTTGCCGTAGATGCGAGGTCCCTCGATCTCTAGTTTATATAATATTTTACTCCTGATGTGCAGTTGATGAGCCGTATACTTTACGCTTGATAAGTTAATCACGCAACAAGCTGCGGTCTTCCTTGATTTGGTGACTTCACCAGCAGGCATAAAATGAGAATGGCAGGCTGCGACACCATTTGAACTGAAAAACCAGTATAATAGAACACAGAACCTGCCACACCTCAAGCCAGATCCAGAGCACTTTTTCAAATACGCTCAACGCGCACTTCAAGGAGTGAATCAACCAGTCATCGGAAAGGGTAAGGGCTCCGTGGCGAAGGACAAGATTGCTTAGACTCACCTGTCGGGTTTCCCTCACTGCTCCCTAGAATCCCCTCTTTGACTACACCCAGTGACATTGCTCAGTGAAGTGTTTCCGGGGGCTACCATGTCACTACTGTCCATCCCCCTGTTGCGGGGCCGACGTCCGTGTTGAGCCCCCCGATCCTTCCTTTCCCCCCAGCGTTTCTCCGTCTTCCAACCTTGTTCTGGTTACCCCGGTTAGTCTGGAGGTTTGTGCACGGATGTCGACTGATGATAGGTCACTCTTAGCAAATTCTCTTTCTTACTCCACTATGCAACTTTTCCGCAAGACTTCTCTATCCCGACCGGAGGGCGAAGCAGGCAAAACATGGCCAGCCATTGCCATGGGCTTCTTTGTTGCATTCGGAGGAGTACTATTTGGTTACGGTGTGGCCCTATGCTTATTATGCAACCTCTCCCAAAGCTGACTTCTTGTCCAGATACTGGACAATCTCAGGCATCCTCTTCATGCCCTACTGGCAGAAACTCTTCAGTACTGGCTACATGGACTCCGATGGCAACCCTAATATTACTACTTCCCAAGAATCAACTCTTGTCTTGATCCTTTCTGCAGGCACCTTCTTCGGAGCTCTAATCACAGCCTTATTTAGCGATTATCTCGGCCGATGATCTGGTCTTATTATTGCCTGCTGGGTATTTAAGCTTGGTGTTATTCTTCAAACGATTGCTACTGCTATCCCAATGTTCATTGCCGGCAGATTCTTTGCCAGTATCGGCGTCTGCATGATCTCGGCAATGAGTATGCTTTCTTATCCTATAATCCTCAGCTCTGGTGACTAATTGGTCTCATACAGTCCCCCTCTATCAGTCCGAAACTGCTCCCAAATGGATCCGAGGTGTGATCATTGGGGCCTACCAGTGGGCTATAACGATCGGCCTTCTGCTGGCTGCGGTCATCAATAATACTACGAGTATGAGAAATAATACGGGATCCTATCGTATCCCGGTTGCCGTCCAGTTCGCTTGGTCGCTTTTCTTGTGCTTTGGCATGCTGGTTCTTCCCAAACCACCTCGGTTTCTTATTATGAAAGATCAGCTAGAGAAGGCTGCATGCTCTCTCGGCGAATCCGCCGTCTTCCATCCGATCACCCTGCCTTGGAGGCTGAGTTGGCCGAGATCCAGGCCAGCTATAATTATGAGAAGAGTCTTGGAGAAGCGTCCTGGTTAGACTGCTTCCGCCCGCCTCTGCTGAAACGCCAGTGTACGGGCATGGCTATTCAGGTTTTGCAGCAACTTAGTAGTGAACTTCATTTTTACGTAAGTAGAGCTATTCCGAACTGAGAAGATTCAATGACTAAGACTTAGTATTGCACTAAATACTTCCAAAATTCTGGAATCTCAAGTGGCTTTGTGATATCTATGATTACCTCTGCTATAAATGTTGCCTCAACAATCCCTGGCATGTATACCATTGATCGGTGGGGCCGCCGACCTCTTCTCCTATGGAATACTAGATTATGATTTTATTTAATTTATATATTATCTTTCATTACAACAGATTTATTTTAAACTTTTAATTATAATTTTAACCTATAACTAAAATCTTACTGATATCCACGACTATTCTAACCCTGCTTCTACTTATAATATTTATCTATTTTAAAGTAATTGGCATAGAGCCTTAGGAGTAAGTGGCTTTCGAGGTTTTGCAGCCGCTTATAGCACGTCTTCAAACAAGGTTTTGGACTTTACTTCTAATTGAAATCTAGACCGCCAGCGGCTCATTAATGCAAATCTCCTACATCCAATTAACATCAGGTTCCGTCATCATAGCACCCTCTCGATCGTGCGAAAATCCAATCTTCTCATTATCCCCCGTGAATCATCGGCACGTCGGTGGCTGCTATAGGGATCGAGAGGAGACTTTGACTTTAGGGCTAGAAGTGCACCTTTATACCTGCTAAGTAAGTGGCTTGGGAAAATGATTGTTTAATTACGTTAACCATTTTACTATTTCTGGCAGTCTTACCTTTTCAAGTAATAAGAAAATATATTAACAGTAGATATATATAATGAGCCTCTTGGATAGTCTATATAAGAACTATTATCCCTATCCTTTAAAGTTTTAATTTTCTCTAACTACTTTTTATTTAAAATCTATTATTAAGATTAAATAAGCTTTACCCTCTGGATCAATACACGGTCCAGTCCTCTCTGTTACCATGTCTTACGGAACTAAGCCTTGCTTCGTTGGTTCTTTTAAAGGGTGGGATGACAAGGCGCTGGAACATCCTACTTTGCGATACTTGAGCAACTTCAACACTGACTTCTGCGAGACCAAGGTCTCCCAGTCGGGGCCGCATACTAAGTGGTTCACGCAGGATTTTGAGTTCCAAACCCAAAGCGGGCAGACCCTCAGAGGAGAGGAGGCCTGGAAGAGGCTAATTCATACAACCCGGTTCTATGACAAATTTTCAATGGAGCCTCTCTCTGCTTTTATCCAGGATACGGAAGACGGATATAATGGCATGGTGTATGCGAATCTATACACTAACTTCGTAAAGCCAGGAGAGAAGAACTGTTCGGATAAAAGGGGAATCAATTGGGAGCTACGTGTGAGTATCGTTTGGGATGTGCAGATACGCCAGCCAAGTACTGAACGTGATTTAGATCCCGAGGGCTTATTATCTTACTTTTGTAAAGGATTCCAGCGGGCTACACGGCCTGAAAGTCAGTAACCTGGTTATCGTTGGGGATGCCTTAGGCACTATGGCGGCAGCGGTTCGCAAGGGGATGGTTTCGCAGGAGAATGCGTTTAGCTTTTAGGTGAACACAATGAACCATTACTCTACATACCAAAATGCTCTCCTATCTGTTGCTGTCCCTTTTTCTTTCACCATATCTCGGAGAATTGCCGCTCGTGGCCGAACAAACGCCTCCACCTTAGACCACTGCGTCTGCTCTTGAACGTCACACCGGGGGAGATATCCATAGGGCTAATAGCCTGGTTCGTGTTTTGCACGAATTACGGGAGTGTTATTGGCTCCAGTTTAGGATGTGTTTGGACAAGTAATTCTCCGATACAAAGCAGTCGAGACTTATGATCTCTGTCCGGCATATTCCGGCTTGATCTCCGCAGGAAAACGGAAGGGATTGGGAATGTGAGACTATCAAAAAGATCTATCATATTTAGCATGAAACCACAGTACTTTACTTCGTATTTCAAGCTTATTTGGACTTTTGAATGTAAGAATTACACATGCTATATCATTTTGGCTGGTCTAGACAAATCTAGTACTTGAATTGCGGGGGTCCTGTAGTTGGCTTTCTGATGGGGAATTCCACTGTGATTTGTTCACCTACACACCATCTTAGAAGCTTGGCCAGTCACGATTTGGTAATCGGTTGGGTGACTATCTGCGGCCCTTGAATTTTGAGATAACACTGCGAGAAGTCTCGAAGTCACGTCAAATGTTCCAGATAACAGGTTTTTAACAATATGAAGATTGATATCGTAATGATCATGTTGCGATGGGCTTATGCAAGCCAGCAGACTTTGTATCAAGCTTTGCCATTGACTTGATTAGTAATTGGAACCGGTCTCCAGTGACTTGTAATATATATACTGTGTACCATATGAAGGCATCTTTACTGCTTAGAGCTGCTCAGCTCAGCCAGCCACAAGCGGGGTACCAGACATTTCCATAATCCACTATTCACATGCCATCGACGTTCAGCCGCGAGCCCCTATCTTTGACCGGAACAAGCCTCCAGCGGGGTCACGACAAGGGTGTAAGACCAATCAAAATGATGAGATCAAAGGGAACCTTTAAACACACCTAATTTGGTGTGTAATAGAAGTACCAGCAGGTCTCTGTTATAAATAGCTACATCACACACTTTGCAGCCGTACCTCGTCTGCTGGCCCCTGGGTTCTTATGCCTGTTATTGGCTGCAGGGATCCTTTTTCGAGCTTCCTTTTCTTAAAGGGTCGGGGCTGCCCCTCCCTAAAGCCCTTACAAGCTAGGCAGTCTGATTTGACACCTCGCCAGACATGGTTGATATCTCTTTGTATGTGTTTTTTATGTATTTCTGTATCACCGATGTCCTCTTCTTCCCTGTACGATATCTCTTTTTTGTCGTTGCAGATGCATTCCTTCCACTTCTGAAGGGTCTTAAAGGGAGGCCACTTAGAGGAGGTCATCTTGAGCTGTAAAATGAAGCTATTAACAAGGGCAATATCGAGAAGGAAGGACCAAAGGAGGGCTTGCCAAGGGCCGCGGCGGAAGGCGATGCCCACAGCTTGGATATAACGAAAAGGCATGTAGCTGCTATCCTGCTAACCGATTTACACGACCTAGGAAAGACGAATTAGTAAGGAACATACGTAGAAATCCCGTCTAATAACCATACCTTGCAGTCTTCTATAGGGATAGCTCATACCTCATTAGAATGAAGGGGAAAGGGGCCTTTGCCGGATTTATCATCCTCTTTGGCATCCTTCAGCTCCTTCGTGATGCCACAGTTAGGGCGCGCTATGCCTATGGCACCATAGCCGGTATCGCAAAGGGCACGGAAGGTATTTGGTAAGGAAAAGAGGTTATCTATAAAGATATAATAGATCGCTTTTAGCAGCATTTTACATGGGTAAATAAGGACACTTTATATATTACTAAGGGCAATATATTCCTTTGGCTTCCTCTTCTTTCCCTGTGACTACAACCCTGGCTATAACTATGACTTTAACTGCAAGCCTAGTATCTGAATAATCACAGCAGTATATAGGAATGCCTTTATAAGCCAAAGCTAGCATAAGAAAAAGCCATTTTGTGTAATAACCTAGACTTTAAACGCTACCAGCGTTAGCTTTCCCATCATAAGGGTAATCTCCTTTAATCGAGAGTTCCTCCAAACTCCTTGGTACCGATCGTTATCAGCTCTACTATCACCTTCCAGACATTCCAAGGCACTTTTGACGGCTCCTTCAATGTCGGCCACTTGAGCAAGGAGATATCCCAGCAAGAACTCGGTCGTCGCCTGATGCTGTAGGAGATGCTGGAGTTGTCCGGCCGGAACTCCGGCTTCCTACTACGTTGCGGGTAGTCACAGGCAGCGCCGTATAGATTGCAGGTGGAGCACTTTGGTTCCGCGCCATCGCACTTGATCTTGATCTTCTTGGTGCGGCAGAAGTTGCAGGCGAGCGTGACGCGGCGGCGCTTTGTTATGCGGGTGTCGTGCCCAATGTCAAGTGAATTGTCGTCCATGTGTCGTGCAACTCTAGATATACACTCTGTATAGGTTCAGGAAGAGTCACCTGTCGCCACGGAAGTGACAACGTGAGTTCGAGGACAGTCAATGCCTCGTTATCTTGTGGATCTCCAAACCTGAACCATGATCTACACTACTAGGCGTGTGCCTGGACTTTTCGTTGAACAGGGACTCCCTCAAATCGAGTTGTGGACTGGAATGCTTGCCACACGGAGGATAATGCGAGAAGCGGTCGGCTTGGAAACATGAATTGTAGAATAAGTGGGAATGTGAGCCATGCTCGTAGCACAAATATCCATACTATAAATACAAGGGTGAAAACCCCAAAGAGGCATATAATTGTCATGGACATCTTGATAGTATTTGATCTCACGACACCAAAGAGGACAGCGGAACTAGGATTATTACTTAAGAATGCACCTTGGGACGCAATCCCGGTACTTCAAGTGAGTTTACTTGCCAGCAGATAAAGCTACCTTCTGGGAGGAAGAGATACTCTTAAGTAGGGATCTGTCCACTACCTTTCCCTACTACAAAGCTATGCTTCTTCCCTATATCGGGCTTAGTAGCCCAGAATCTTGTTTACCTCAGACACTAGACTCTCCTTCTCCTTAGTTGTCTCTGAAGTGCTGAAAGGGCTTAAACCCATCGCTCGCTTTCCAGAGTCACTCAGAATGTCCTCGGTGGTGGCCTTGTCAGAGAACTCGGACTCTCCGGCACCACCGGGGAAGTCAGGCGGAGGAATTCCCTGTAGGAAGGCGTCCCTCTGTTTCGCGACGTAATGCTGAGAATAGTTAGCAAAGGCTCTTCTCGAGGGGTATAAAACGTCATACCGCGTTGCTGGGAGTCAATAGGACCGATGGGATATAGAACACGCAGGCATCTACATCGCCTGTATTGTTGTTCTCTGTACCGTGGATAGTGTCCGCGCTCCAGAACACTGCACAAGTTAGCGTTATCTCGCTTTGCTTCAAGTTAACCAATTAACAGAACTCACCGGTATCACCGGGCTCAACAGTAGGATATGGGATCATAGTCTCGCTCAATCGGAGGTGAGGGTGGTGGTCGGGGTTGTGCTCCTGTGCTGTTCCGGGGTTGGCGCCGTGAAGGAAGACGTTGCCATCGTCATCATCAAGAGAGAACTTCCATCCATCCAGGGAACCGTTTCTAGTAGGCTTAAAGAATGGTCGAAGCATCCAGTAGGCTGTAGAAGGCTGCAGAATAGGATGGACAACCAGTGTTCCTAATCTTGTTAGCGACTCGTTCATCTAATAAACCTTGTATAAGTACCTTGTTGAGGTCCATGGCGAGATAGTCCGAGCCAACCCTGGAAGGTTCGGAACACGGAACATCCTCCTGGTCCGTCGTGCATGTTCATGTTGGCATCAAGTCGACCAGTGAGATCCCATGGGTTATACTCGTCCCACTGTGTAATGTCAGCTACACTCCGGCTTCAGAAGCTCTCATCATTATCATACCTTTCCTTGGAAGATCTTTCGGTAGACGTGATTGTAGGATTTATCCTCCCACCTTTCAACACCTCCGCCATCTACATGGGGCGAAAGGGCAAATTGGGTATCTCCAGGGGGACGAATCTGAACTCGGTCGCAGTATGAGAGGGGAGTGTTGAGATCAACTGTCAAAACCAGGTCAGCTCTTGTATCAGCTCTTGTATCAGCTCAAGTTGTATTAGAGTGTGCTTACTCTTTTGATCAGCGTCAGCAGTATAGAAATGGTTCATCCACGTCTGCGTAGCAAGCATGTTGGGGTGCGATCGTGCCTTGACCTGGGATGGACTCCAGTAGGACTCATAAACAACCTAACAAATGGAGATTAGACTCAGTTTTAAAAAAGCATGAGTAATTATTGGAGACCAACCTTCTTATCTGAGTCCGCAGGGAAGCCCTTGAAGGCATGTCTCGAGAAGTAGCCACGGACATCTTCAAGAAGCGCTTCGGTAGAGTCCTTGGGCATGACGCCCCTGATAACAGCGACACCAGTCCTTCGAACAGCCTCAATGCTGGAGGAGGGTACAGTGTTGGCTTGGATATCAGAGAATTGGACCTGAGGAATGATCTATTGTTTTAGGTTCTATTAGCACCGAGTCTTGTCTTGGAGACAGAAAGACAATTGGCTCATGAACTTACACCTTCCCTTTTCGTAGCAACCTCTTCGGTTCGGACCTTGAGAACCTCAACTAAATCATCCCACGACTTTTGAATCTGCTCTTCAAACCCAATAGTAAGTTGTCGCTTGAGATCTAGGTATCTATCAGGGAGCGGCTCGGCCTTTCGACCAGAGAATGATGTGAAAACAGACGAAATATCTCCCTCCTTCTTGTTCTTCCGGGTGGGAGGCACGGCCTCTGTTGCCATACGTCGTTTGTTGGGGATGGTTCCCGCACATTTGCCAGCCTGGAATGCCGGGCATTTCAGGCACTTTGAGGCTACGGATCTGGTTGAGAGGATGCTCATGGTCGTCTTAGATGTTTGTGAGATCTGGATTGAGATGATGATACTTACTCAGAGTTGGCGAGTCTTGGGCTCTTATAATCCCAACCTCTCCTCGGACTGGCTAGTATGAGCTAGTGGAATGTACTACTCTTGACGTAACCATTGAATGATTCAGGGAATCTTTCCTTCTGTTCCCTAATAAAATATGGAAGTTTTGTCTAGGTGGAGCCTTATAATCCCACAATTAGAACATAACCCAGACCGAGTTGATTAAGTGATATGTAGAAACTCCAGGGTGTGCACTAGCGGAGCTACTTACCTAGGTAGTACCGATCCGCAGCTACCAAATTTGGAAGGGCCGCACCATGGCGGAGATGACTTTGACAGACAATACCTGGCTCAGATTGTCGTTAACTGGGCAGCTGGGGTTAATAGGTATTAATCTAGATACGGCATGAAAGGAAACAGGTCTAGATCAGCCATCAAGAGGAAAAGGAATCCACTGAAGGCAAATACAGCCAACGCGTTTTCTCAAAACCTATCTATCTATGTGATATGGGCGGCCTTGTTGCCGTATATGTCAATCTTATATAAATTGCTATAATCTGGATGGCAAAGACTATAGTGACACACGAATAGACACAGGCGAATAGCTCTCACTTCCGTCATTCACGAGCTTTCGAGTCGCTCCCATCCCCTCGCTTTACGTCATCCATCTCTACCCAGCTGAAAGCTGCTTTAACAGTAGGAATAATTCAATGGCCACTGTAACACACATATCTTGTGAATTGGTCAATTAAGGTAGCTAGTCAGAACCCCAAGCGGGGCACAGATGATAGTGAAAGTCAATAGACACCTATTCTCTCTCTCCTTTCGACGTGCGGGGCCCCGCGACAACGCTTGCCATGCAATGCCGATCCCGTGAATCAGGGCCGGAAGCCAACAAGTCCACGAGAGAAAGTACTTGCGGTGATTGGAATTGTGGTCAGGGGGTTATTGCTTGGTGGGTGGTACTAGAGTACGTATAACAGAGCTGTCCGTGACTCCGTGGCTGGCGGAATCTCCGAGTCTGGACGAGAGCCTGACATCGCTGACACAGTGTTTCTTCACAGACATCTCCTTTCGTAAACCCAGGACCAGAAGAGCGAGATAGGTTTGCCACAACTTGCAAGACTTCCGATATAATGTAGACTGGACTACGCCGTAAGTTGCGGATATACCTAATCCGGACTAGTGTGAAGCCAGGATCTTATAGACGCAGGTGGATCCCAACAAAGAAAATGAACATCACAAGCAATCGGGCTTCTCAGTCAAATTGACTCTCTAGGGTAGGAGAGTTTAAGAGATCTAATCCATGCTCCTATAACAGAACGATGGCAATCTAGATTGCGCCACGAGTCCGCCATTAGATGTCCATTTGCTTGACACGATCCAATTCATTATCCCACCGCCTTGCCAGATAGCAAAGCCAATGCGCAACCGACCGACTGGGTGATAGAGGGGGCATAGGTTTGGTAAGTCTTGAGACCAAACAAGTGAACACAGATATCTCAGGCAGCGCCAGTATTTTTTTTTTTTTTTTTTTTTTTTTTGAAAGATATAACGACGATGATGCTTTGCGTCCAACGACATTTTCTCTTCCAAGTAAAGGATTTAATCGACCCAGGTTTTTAGCAACTTAATATCAGATTTTCATAGCCATCTTAAGCGTAAACACCAGCGCCCATCAGATTGAACGGTGTCAGAAAGTTGCTCTCATGACGTGAACCATTTAGCATAGCACGAATCATGCCCTTCTCTCCAGCATAATCATTTTTAATCTGCACTATTATAGCAGAAGGCTTTTACTCGGTAGATTATGCTTTTAACGTGATCGTCGGCAATGATGCGCTTTTACCGAACAAGTATTACAAATCACGTCTTACCTGATACAACCAAACTTTAGACTACTCCACAGAGCTGCCTCTCAAAGTTCAGAATTTCATCACTATTTCTCATTATCCTATGTTATTAATATATTACTTCATATAAATAATACCATCAACTCTGGTATCTCTTTATAACTTCATTTTCCAACATCGTCATTGCGCATACTATGCCTCATAATATCCTCTTGACTGGCGCCTCTGGTTATCTTGGTGGAGACCTCCTGGCGGAACTTGCCAGCACAGAGTTACCCGAATACGGGCAGCTTTTTGCACTTATTCGAAGCTCAGAGCAAGCCGATGCCGTCAAGCAGTTAGGTGCAGAACCTCTGACATTGGACGTCTATAACGAGGATGCCGTGCGCGAAGCTGTTCTAAGCCATGAAATAACCGTTGTCCTTTTTCTGATTAACGCTGTCTCCCCCGCTTCTCAGAAGCTCTTTATCAAGGCCCTCGGCGAGCTCAAGAAGAAGACCGGCTCTGATGTTCATTTCTTACATGTATGGATTATTGTCAGAAAGCAAATAGAGGGCGCGAATACTGATTATAGCAGACCACTGGTGCCAAGATGTTTTCAAGCCATTCCGGTGCTCCGACCGACCGTGAATTGAGTGACAA